ATTAGAACGTGTAGCTTGCCTTACAGAGGAATCTGTCATACAGAGAAATCTTCTTGGTAGGGCAAACTTTGTTTGTAGCATCTACAGATGGCTTGAGTTCATTCCCTGTCTGTACGGGAAAATCCTTTTGGAAAGTCATACGAGGTCTGTTAGAAACACCGCTGAAGATCTCTTCCATAAAAAGCCTGTTGAATCATGAAGTATGCTTTGGAGACCGTAGAGTATAATTACATTGTTTTACTCACGGTGGACAGAGGATGGGTCTTCTCTGGCTCACGGCTTGTATCCCCGTGAGTTGAGTGGAAGAGAAGCCCTCCTCAGGTTCTTTGTTATCACCCCGGAGGAGCAGGCTAGACCCGGAGATAGACGTCTATCACCGGGGGCCTGCTCTTCCGGGGCATACCCCCACACCACCACCTAGTAGAAACAAAACCCCTATTGAGTAGTGGTTACAAAGAACCATAGGAGTGTCACTCCTACTTTGGGAACACTTACATGTCAAGAATGAAAGTCATTATTAATCTTGACATGTTAAAATTGTGTTATCCCAAACTCACTTACACACCACACCCGAGAGTAATGCATCAAAGATCAGCCAGATGAGTGATTCCTTACGTGAAGAATTGCGCTGGATTTGACTCAAGAGTGGTGCGATCTGGTGTGATTAGAAGATGTCGCAAACTCGAAGCCCTTGTCGCAGTGCAAAACCCAGTGTTGCATGCCAAATATACACATGTAACACATCGGGGCCGATGCAGCGACAAACTGTCGCAACCGTGGTTGCAACGGGCATTTGCTCACGGTGTGAAGAACGTGCGGGCATGCCCGCCACAGCTTAATCATGAAACAACTTAAGTTCCCATTGTCACAACAATTTTAGTAATGTTTGCACAGGATTCACTGCTTGCCATGTTTCCTCATGTCTTGGAATTCAAAAATGGGCTCTTTGTGATCTCCTCAGCTCAAAATCATTGTGGACACCACTTTATACATACTTGGTAATTACTAATCACATATTTGTTGTACAAAAAATATTGAGTACAACCGTTGATAATTTTTGAGGCAAGCCTCATACTTAGACCATTTCACAAACTGCTTTTGTTAACAAGCTGTATTTGATTTGGGGAGCAGACCATCCCCACCTCAAGATTTTTAAAGAACTTGAGTATCTCTACAAAACCGTCCCCTTTTATATTTGAAGAAAGTTTGGTAATAAGGTAGTTGAGAAGAAGTTCAAATATGATTTGCAGGGGAGAGGAAAAGGAGAGACACTTCAGGATTATGTGGTATTTTGACTGTATATTGTTGGTTTGGTTAGTAAGGTTTGGGCAGAGATTTATCTAGGGTTGTTTAGTAGCTACAAAAGTTTTTAACATTTATTTTTTTTGGTTGTTTGTCTTTTTTCTTTTATCCAAATTTTGTATTGCCGCTAGCCACCCTGTAGGGTGTGTTTCATCTTTTATTCAAAGTAATTATATACCCGGGGCTTACGCCTTGGGATTTGCACCAAATACAGGTATTGCCTTTGGCAATCTAGTTTAAACAAGTAGTGAGTTTAACAGTCCCATTTCAGATTCCATTCTCTTATGGAAGAGCCGCAAGTGAAATGAAATAAGAAATTGATTGGGCTAGGAACAAAACTGTGATCCCAATCCTTATCTCTTCACCTACCAGGAGGAGGTAGCAAAACGCCTCGAGTCTGTTCTTCCACCTAAAGTACCTAGTCTTCTACAAGACCCAATACCCTATGCGTGGTGTGGGGAGGGCCCCAGAGGGCGGTAGATCTCGAAATTGTCTAAATAAGACCTATTTCAAGAAACCGCCCGTGGGGTGAGAACATACTTGAGAAGTTCGACTTCTCAACCCGGGAGGTGGGTGGGTTTTTTTACTTTTTATAAGAAGGTAAACTTTTGAGGAAGTCGACTTGCTGAGGAAGTGTGAGTGCTACAAGGGTGAAGTTTTAGATGAATGGTGAGGAAAAATTTTCTCATCTTCTAAAACATCTAAAATCACTCTCTGTGAAGGCCAGTCCAACCGTGAAGCTGACCTTTCACGTGTGTGATCCTCTCTTGCACGCTCCACTTCTCTCTCTCCCATTTCTAATGGACTACGGTGTACAGCCGCAAGCTATTGAACACCAACAATTTTTGTAAAGTTGTTCAATTTTGGATTGCTATAGTTCATTTTGTAGCCCTCTTGATACTGATCATTTATCACACAAATGTGGTCTCTTTCTGAAACAATCAAAGGTAAGCTTGGGTTGCACGGCTCCAAGACTGACATGCAATTCAAAAGGCGCAACAGCGCCAAAAAAACACTGAATTTACATTTTTTTGGGCAGTAACAGAACAGATGTTGTTGTGGCCCAAAAAAACTGTTGATTTGACACATCTTCTTGCATGCCGGGTCAGGCCGCAACCTCGAAATCAATTTTTTGGTGTGGTGCAGTCAGAAAAACCGGAATGCACGCGCATTGCAGCACACAACACCTGTGTTCCAGGCCCATGGTTGGTGACACCAGGTAATACACTTGGGATAGTGTTGTGTTACTCATGATGGTAAAGTGATCTTGAAATTATGAAATACATTCTGCTACATTTCCCTCCAAACAAGTGCTAACAAACACTGCCGGCATATTTGGCTCAGAGAAAAACGTCCGAGGAGTCCTTGGATGGCACCCCCGAGGAAAAGGCCCCCCGAGGGCTAATGCCGTTGCCTCGAATTGGATCCTCGGATGGGGGTTAACTCGGAGTCAGAATCCGAGGAATCCTCAGATTTTTGGCTCCGAGCCAAATATGCTGGCTGTGAAATGTGTCCTTCTTGGGTGATCTTTGAACAAGCATAGGCTCCAGCATCCTATGTGGATTGACCTCAGTGGAGCCCACCTTATGACTTTGGCCCCCGCCGCTCAATCTGGCTAGTACTTATAAAATATTGACACAGCTGACTTCCTTCATGCCGGCGGGAATAACATTATTAAGGTGTTGAGGCTAGTTATAAAATTGGGTGCTTGTGTGTTGAGTATCATACATTAATACTTTGACGCATGTCTTTTGAGTAGATAAATCAAGTTATATTTCCTTTAAAGTTGTGTCACTTTGCCCCTTCAATAAAGATCCTTTATTGTAGGTTTTAGAAGAGCAGTCTATAGACATTACTTCTCGTTATCTTTAGTAGTTTATCCTCTTCAAGCTCTAAATTCCCCTTGTTGGGTGATTAGTTCTACAGCACCTGACCAGATTCTCTTACTTGGGATCATCACAGAAGGGTCATATCAAACATTAACCAGAGGAATTATTATGGACAAATCATCTGGTAGGAAAATGGGTACAGCCCAATCTGCCAGCCAAGCATTTCAAACATTCTACCACCAAAAGAGTACATTGGGTATAAGTCCTCATCCCGGCTCTAAGGGTGGCTTTCATATGTGATGTGATCATGATTTCAATACTTGCTTTGACCAGTCCTCACCAGATCTTGAGCCTATGATGAGTGCGGCTGAGATCCATGGTGTCCTGATCAGTGAATGGAACATGGTTTTCATGCTCTCAATCCATTGAATGGTGTTGAAAAGTATCTAGAAAGGTTCATAATAGTGGTCATATTGCATGCAGTGCAGTTTTTAGAAGAGCAGAAGGAGAATTCAAACAATAATCAAAAGATACTGCAGTGAATTAAGGTGCAGCAGGGGGGTAAGCAAGTTTAGAGAGTGAACATGTGACACAAGTGATAGCTTCACTTCACATTTTTCATGTTTTCTGGTACACATTGATGCAACCTGGAACACAAAAGGACATCAGAAAAGGAAAATTGAACAGAGTTTAAAGAAGAATTGGTATAGTGGGTAGTGTCTAAAAGTGTGTAATGTCGGGCCGGTTAGTACAGCCAAAAAGCTGATTTATCAAAAACTCCATTGGATGAAAAGAACTTTCTCTACTGTAAAAATTGTTAAAAACAACATGTTCAATACAATTTTGGATTCCTATCGATGTGAGGATTCCAAATCTGCCCTCGGCTTCAAAATTGGATCAATTTTGTGGGCTTCATGAACTTTTTTCTCAAAATACCCAATTTCACATGTTTAGGCACTACCCACCATATCCCCAGGTTTTTTTACAGTGTGATTGAAATGAGATGATTGGGATCAGGTAGTGGTATTTGATGAATACTCTTGGTTATGATTTGATCTATTCTTCATGTAGTCATCATGATCTTTTTATTCAGTACCCTGATATACTGAAGGTGAATCTGGTACTTCATTCAGGTCAAACAGATAAGCCTTCTCAATGTGAAGATTGTGCAGTGTTTGGGAAGGCAATTGATCCATTTGGTGTGGAAGTGATCTGTGGGAATTTTTGTTTGGGTCTAAAGTCTATGTTTCAATTTAGTGAACTCCAAAGTAAAAATCCAATAAAAAACTCACCCAATGCTGCAGGACTGGAGCCGGTGGTAAGATAGGGTCCTTGGTACTCTGGACTTAAATTTGTTTGCATTGCAATAGATTGCTTTGAAGTTAGATTTCTTCTCTGGTATCTGTGTTTTGTTTGGGACTTACTTGATAGACAATAGTATTTCTTCAATTTCTGATGGCTCATCATCTACTACATAAAAAGCCTTTGTCCTAGACTTTTTTGGCCATCCTTTATCAAAGAAACTTTTCTCATGGAAAACTTTCCTTCTTTTTGAAGACTTCTTGATTTTGGAGACTCTTGTACTTGTATGATGTTGAGAATTACCTGAGTCCTGCTGGGATTTTAGTGATTTAAAAGGAGTTATGGCCTCTTGTTCTTTTGATAATACATCTGACACAATTGTAAATTCATTGGATTGTGGTGTTCCTAATAATTGAGTCTTCTTTGGAGCAAGTCTTTTTGACTCTGCGTTTTTACTTACTGTTGATTTCCCTGTATTATTCCCTTTTTCTGATCTATTCCATAAGAAAGCCCCATGTAGCTCACCATTAGAGTATAGCTCTTTCAAGTGAGCAAATGCCTTTCTTTTAAAAGTATTGTATTTATCATTTATTGAATCCTGGCCTCTGGAGAATTCTTTGGCACTTTCAAAAACAATTTCAGTCAACTGAGACTTTCTGTCAGATTCAATGACACAGCTTTGCTTCCAACCAGGAATGATTTTACAAGTGACAGGATTCCTGTCTTGTACACCTTCTGAAAGCAAAGCCCAAACCATTTGATTGTAGAAATTGTTAAGCTTATCAGATGCCAGAAGATGCTCCTCATAGACTTGTCCCAGTCCAAAATGCAGCCATCTCCACCGAATTTCTTTATTTTTACTGTGATGATTTGACCTGAATTTTGTCAAAGCCCAATAGTATCTCATTGATTGTGCTGTTGTTACTCTTTTTTCAAGAGGTGTATTGGGGAAAAGACTTTCCAAAACATGGCTGAGCACATTTCCAGTCCTTCGGATGAAGAGATAGAACATAACACTGTTGTTAATAACTCTTTTACGTTCATTGTGGTCACCTCTCTTCACAATGAACTCCATTGAGGTTGTGAACATTTCACGCAGGACTGAAAGTATTTCTGGATCATCTTCATCAAGTTTTGATACTAAATCAATTGCTCTAGACATATGCTTTACTACCAGGTTGTAGGTCATTACGTTCTCTTGCTTGGCTTTTTGGAATGACCACAAGTCTTCTACTCCTTCAAGCTTTTTTGAGACCTTGTGATCCTCAGCTAGGTCTTCTTCTGAAATAACCCCAAGCTGATTTGATATCCTGTGGTCATTTCCACCAAAAATAAACCAAATTTTGTGAACTTCTCCACTGAACTGAGTGGATTTGTGGCCACATGTTTTTAAGGGATCTTCAAAAAAAGGAACTGGAGACCATGAATATCCACTCCAAGGGGTTCTGTTGATCAGGTACCTATGTATATCAATCACGCCACCTATATGATCATTGAGGATTTTTTTTTCTTTCATGTTTTGTGACCGGATTTTATCAACATTGCAAATCATGTTCTGATGTTTTAAACCATCAGCCACCAAGATTTCAAAGATTTCAAACATATGCATATAATTCCTATAGTAGACGCCATATTGTAATTGATCATCCTTTTTGAGTTGAGATGAGATAAGAAATGTTTCAAGTGAGTGATTTGAGCCATACAACAGGGTCATTGACTTCTGGAAATTCTCAAGTAATGTGTTCCATCCAATTTTTGACATTGCGTGGTCAACAAAGGGGGCAACTATTTTCCTTACTGCGTATTGATTTTTATTCTTGGACAAATGATTCAGTGTGCTTGACACTTCTGCTTCCAGACAATCCAGCTTTGGATGTTCTTTTTTTTCAGAGTGGCCTTTCAGGATCTGTATGAGTTGATGCACAAGTCTTTCTAATGGGGAAAAAGAAATGTCCAGGTCCACTTTGCTAATGCTACTTTCAATTTTTGAATCAATTTTTGAATTTGCAGTCGTCCCAAAAGGGCAGTCTTTCAAGATGGGACCTATGTAATAGTTCACTCTTTTCCCAAATATCGCACCATCTCTGTTTTGCTTAACTACTTCTTCAATTGTTCTTATGTCCCTCCAAGTCTCAAGGTTCTCATCCTGCAACAGAATTTTTTCCATTGGGCTGATTTCCCGCACAGGTTCTCTTACTTGAGATCATCAGAGAAAACTCCTATTAGTCATTATCATGAAGTTGATCTTCAGAAAACATGAAAATAATCTGACCATTTCCTATTGCAGGTGATACCGTTTCCAGTTGACTCATTCCAAGGTGGACTGGGCCACCGGGAAGCAATTTGACCGAGAGGATTGAGTGTACGAAGGCCATAATAACCACAATAACAAGCATTTTGGCTGAAAAGATATTTGTCTAGGGCAAGATGGCAAAATTGATGATGAAAAGTAGATCAGACGTGAATGTGAAATCCTGGCTTTTCGGCTAAAGAATATTTGATGCAAAGATACAGGTAATGTTTTATAGTTTTGATTCATATGATAGTGATTACGTACTACGGAGGATGGAACAAGTAGCCAACGAATACACCGGCCTAATGCGCCCGACTGCAACATGCAGCATTTGCTGAACCAGAAATTCTTTAGGGTGACCACACCGCAGCGGTTAAGTTAAATGAATGTTTGCCAATGATTGTTTCAAAGCACTGACCATTGAATATTTTCACATTCACTGCAGCACTCTGTGTAACTAGTCTCTGCTGGACATCCCCTACTAAATAGAGGTTTTCCAACGCAACACCCAGTGACCATGAGTTTAGATTGTGAAAACCCGTATACCTTGAAATACGCAATAAGCCAGGATATAATTTGAGAATGAAGCGAAGTGATGAGGCGAAGTTATCTTACACCAGCCGTTTGATTATGATCCGTCTCGTCATTGATGGCACAGAGATACAGGTAATGTTGTGAGCTATGCTGTTTTTGTAGACGCAGAAAAACAAACTATCCATCTCCTGCTCAGCATAAGGACAAACTGCAATCCGGCGTGGTTGAAGATGGTCACCGTCGACCCGGCCACTACACCTTTCTTCAATTGAGGCTGGCACTTGATAATTGCCGCGGTGTGATTCGTGAACGTCTCCCAACTAAACTTATCAAAGTGCCCTCTTCTCCTTCTGTATCGCTGCGGGTCCATCAGATGCTTGTAGATAGACTCTTGATCCTTCAGCTCGAGAAAACTTCGCTACTGCGGCATTCCTAAAGTTACACCGGCCACCCAAAGCACACCTGGCGTAAAATTCGGAAAAAGGGCCCAATTCTTGAATTTCACACTGGTTCAGTGTCTTTGGTCCGTGTGAAAAATCACTGTGTAAAAATGTCGGTGTGAAAATACCAAAGCCGGAGGTGATATAGAATCTTACACCGGAACTTTTACACAGAAAGTTGGTGTCAAAAATTCCAGCGTAAAAACCGAGACTTGCCTCCAAAAGATCAATTTAACACAGGCTGTATTCAGACCGACAATTCCAGTGTTAAATTGCCCTGCGTAAAATTGCATTCTAACACATACAAAGCGCAGTTTTACACCGCCGCAAAAAAATAACACCGACTTTCAAAAAACAGACCAAAGCGAGAAAGAAAACAAAAAACAAATGATATTCAATGATATTGTAAGATATCAAATGACATTTAATGATAGGAAAACTCTTGACAGGAAGCCTCAACGAGGGGCGAAAATGTTTATCTGGTACACTGAGTGGGCCGTGTTCTGGTGCAATCAAAATCTTGGCTAGGTGATCAGCGCTTAGCTTCCTTATTGAGACCCACTGACGACCATGACTTGATGATTGTGTATGCAAGAATTCGTAATGGGTGATCAGATTTCTTTTTTCATCAAATATGGTAAGATTTGTACAAAGTAATTGAAACGGAGTGCCTTATCATCATTCAAAGATGAGATAGAAGTCAAGGCTGAGATTCAGTTGTCAAAACAGTTCAACTCACAGTAGTCGCGGTCTTGGTGTTCAACTTTAGTGTCTGAATTAATGGGATGTTTCAAATTACATGAATGAGTATGAAGGGCAATCTTTGATTAACAAAAGTTTAGCTGACAAAGAATACAAAAACCACGTGAACAAATAATGAAACAATCTCATGAACTTATAAAAATGCATACAGACATCTACTGGCAAAGATCGAGAAATGTGAAGAAAACGCGCAGGGAAATGGGCACTAGACATTACTGAAGTGAGAGGAAAAGGATGCTCTAAGTAGATATTCTTCATCTCAAATTAGCCCTAACACTCAATCATTGAAATAGAGCTTGAAAGCCAGCTGGAATGAATTGACGACGTTTCAATTTTCCCTCAGTATGATCAGGGTGAGCATATCCCTCCTTGTCATTCGGAGCTGATTCAACATCACCTATGGAATAAGAAGAAAAGGCAAAATGGTGAACATTTGTGAGAAAGAATCTTTGAATCAGAGTATAGAACACGCTTACCCTCGTTATGCTGAGTTCGGTGAGTATATCCACCCAATCGGTCAGGATGGGTCGAGCCTTGACGATTGGTAGTAGGACGGTCTTGGTTTTGTGTGTCGCCCGTCATTTGATCCGAAGTTGATGACTGGCCATCGGTCTCCGAATCAAAGTTCCCCTTGGTAGAATTAGAATCCATGGTAGAGTTCGAAGACGGGGTTGAAGTCGAAGCTGTGGTAGAATCAGTAGCCGATGTGGAGTTGGAAGCCGGTGCTGTTGTCCCAGAGGTGGAATAGTTGTAGCTCTGACTAAATGAAGAGTCAGAAGGTGAGTTCGGAACACTTGTTTGACCTCCCGAAGAACCTTCAAAGTTGTTACCCATGAAGGACGATGAGCCGGAAATTGATGGGCTGCTTCTTCCAGCGTTTTCATTTGATACGGTATTCCCATCAGGAGAATTGTTATTGTTCATAGTCTGCGATTGAGAAAGATGGGTTGAAGCATCACTGCCATTCGAGTTTTGGCGATTTTGAGAGTTGGGCGAGGTTTCAGAAGACATTTGATCGGATCCGGAACTTGGGGTGAATTGAGCCGCGTTACCGTTGTTTCCTCCTTGTGATTGACGAGAGGAACTGAACCCATCTTGACCAGAATTACCATCCCTTGGATATCCGCCGGTATTTTGATGTCCATCCATGCCTTGACTGTGATCATCAGATGGACGGAAAATGTTCTTGACACCATCAGGGATAAATTGCTCGGCAAATCCAGGAAGGAATTGGCTTCCCCCGTTGTTCTGACGATCGCCACCTTGTTGGTAATGATCGTTGTCACCTTGATGTGGGTTTTGGAACTGACGTTGAGTGTTACCGTTGGAGTTTCCATAAGTGAAAGACGGGTGTTGGTTTTGGTCGTTCATGTTTCCCCCTTGATTCCCATTGAAAGAAGGCGATTGTTGTCGTCCTGAAGATGCACCATCGAACGAGGAACCTTGGAATTGACCTGAGTTTGCATCAGGAGAATTGTTGTTGTTCATAGTCTCCGATTGAGAAGGGTGAGTTGAAGCATCAGTGCCATTCGAGTTTTGGCGATTTTGAGAGTTGGGCGAGGTTTCAGAAGACATTTGATCGGATCCGGAACTTGGGGTGAATTGAGCTGCGTTACCGTTGTTTCCTCCTTGTGATTGACGAGAGGAACTGAACCCATCTTGACCAGAATTACCATCCCTCGGATATCCGCCGGTATTTTGATGTCCATACATGCCTTGACTGTGAGCATCAGATGGACGGAAAATGTTCTTAACACCATCAGGGATAAATCGCTCGGCGAATCCAGGGATGAATTGGCTTCCCCCGTTGTTCTGATGATCGTTGTAACCTTGTTGTTGGGCTTGGAACTGACGTTGAGTGTTGCCGTTGAAGTTTCCATCAGTGTGAGCCTGGCGTTGGTTTTGATCGTCCATGTTTCCGCGTTGGTTCCCATTGAAAGAAGGCGATTGTTGTCGTCCTGAAGATGCGCCATTGGACGAAGAACCTTGAACTTGACCTGGGATTGCATCAGAAGAATTGTTGTTGTTCATAGTCCCCGATTGAGAAGGGTGAGTTGAAGCATCAGTGCCATTCGAGTTTTGGCGATTTTGAGAGTTGGGCGAGGTTTCAGAAGACATTTGATCGGATCCGGAACTTGGGGTGAATTGAGCTGCGTTACCGTTGTTTCCTCCTTGTGATTGACGAGAGGAACTGAACCCATCTTGACCAGAATTACCATCCCTTGGATATCCGCCGGTATTTTGATGTCCATACATGCCTTGACTGTGAGCATCAGATGGACGGAAAATGTTCTTGACACCATCAGGGATCAATTGCTCGGCAAATCCAGGAAGGAATTGGCTTCCCCCGTTGTTCTGACGATCGCCACCTTGTTGTTGGTCTTGGAACTGAGGTTGAGTGTTACCGTTGGAGTTTCCATAAGTGAAAGACTGGTGTTGGTTTTGATCGTTCATATTTCCGCCTTGATTCCCATTGAAAGAAGGCGATTGTTGCCATCCTGAAGATGCGCCGTTGTCACCTTGATGTGGGTTTTGGAACTGTCGTTGAGTGTTACCGTTGGAGTTTCCATAAGTGAAAGACTGGTGTTGGTTTTGATCGTTCATGTTTCCGCCTCGATTCCCATTGAAAGAAGGCGATTGTTGCCATCCTAAAGATGCGCCGTTGCCATCTTGACTTTGGTCTTGGGACTGACGTTGAGTATTACCGTTGAAGTTTCCTTCAGTGAAAGACTGGTGTTGGTTTTGATCGTTCATGTTTCCGCCTTGATTCCCATTGAAAGAAGGCGATTGTTGCCCTCCTGAAGATGCGCCATAGGACAAAGAACCTTGGAATTGACCTGAGTTCGGTTGTCCGAAGTTTGAACCGCCAGTACCACTAAATGATTGGGAGGACTGTTGGCCGTTTTGAGTACCTTGAGCGCTTTGTGCGCCTTGAGCGTTTTGATTGCCTTGACCACTTTGATTGCCTTGACCATTTTGATTGATGTTACTATTTTGAATATTCTGGCCATTTTGAGCACCTTGACCGTTTTGAACATTCTGACCGTTTTGAGAACCTTGAGCATTCTGACCATCCCGAGCAATTTGGCCATTCTGACTACTTTGATCATCTTGGCAAGCAGAACTATCATCGGAAAGTCCTCCTCCGTAGTATTGACCATTCATGTCATAACCATCAACGGATACACCGTTAGATCGACGTAGAATATGCTTCACACCATCGGGAATGAACTGTTGCGCAAAAGGTGGAATAAACCCGGCTCCGTTTTGTTGTTGAGAATTGTACGAGTCCGATTGTGGGTTTGGACTGTTGTATCCAGATTGACCTTCGTATTGGCTTCCTTCATCATATGAACGTCTAATGATATGTTTGACCCCTTCAGGAATGAATTGCTCGGCAAAGGGTGGGATGAATCCGGCTCCGTTTTGTTGTTGAGAATTGTATGAGTCCGATTGTGAGTTTGGGTTGTTGTATTGTGATTGACCTTGGTACTGATTATATTGGTCACGTCTGATGATATGCTTAACTCCTTCAGGAATGAATTGCTCAGCAAAGGGTGGGATGAATCCGGCTCCGCCTTGTTGTTGAGAGGGGTACGAGTCATACTGGGAGTTTGGGTTGTTGTATGGTGATTGACCTTGGTACTGATCATATTGGTCACGTCTGATGATATGTTTAACTCCTTCAGGAATGAATTGCTCGGCAAAGGGTGGAATAAACCCGGCTCCGTTTTGTTGCTGCTGTCGGCCGCCTTGGTACTGGCCATTTTGATTGTTAGAGTTAGAGCCATAGTTGGAACGATAGTTGTTGTCAGATTGCTGATAGTTGTTCTGATTGTTGTATTGCTGATCATCGGAACGACGGCCAAAAGGTGAACCACCAGCACCGGAGCGTGAACCACCAGAAAGTCCGGGGATGCCACCCGATAGGCCAGGGATGCCGCCAGAGAGACCAGGGATGCCGCCAGAGAGACCAGGGATGCCGCCAGAAAGGCCGGGGATACTATCTAGGCCGGGGATTCCGCTACGAGCATTCATCTGGTGGTAGCCCATGCCCGCCATGGATTGCCAGTGGAAATCATCAAGCGCACAGGCAACCTAGAAGATAGTGTAAATATATAAGTCACATGCCAGAAGAAGAGGATCATAAGAATAAGTGGATCTCACATCGACAACTTGGTCGCCCTCATCTGCAACCAAAAATTCCATGACAATCTTTTTGTCCATAAAGCTAGACATATCAATGGCGCGCTGGTTGAGACCGCTAGACTTGAACATTTGAGTCGAGTTTCCTTGGGTCAAGTTTCCCATCGTATGATCGGAATTGATAGTTTCATTGATCATAAGCTGTGCTTGTGTCATGTTGCCAGGAGTACCGATATAGACTAAGAACGAGTCAGCGTAAGGCGAGTGGTCCATGCCGATTCTGTCATTGTACATGAAAAGAAGAGTGGTCAGCCCTATCTGCCAAACAGGACGTATGAAGCATTGAACATACATTTGATCAGTCCATGCGAGAATTACATGCGTCCCGTTCAACTTCTTGGAATCAAGGTTGAAGGAGATCGAAAATCCTCCTCGGTCAAATAGCATGGTTCCAGGTTTACTGTCGTAGGTCTCTTTGCTGATCCCGTCGTTGGAGGTAACGAAGCCAGAAGATGGCGAGTCAAAGAAAGTCTTGGTGCGACTGTCACCAGACTTGATTTGCACATAATTAGGGCCTTCGATAGGAAACCTGATGATATACGAGGTTGACAAGAGATAATTGTCAGTTAATGGGAAAAAGGTAAGGCCGAAAACCGAATGATCATACCCAAAATTGTGCGAGTCCAGCACTTTTGTTTGAACAGGACTCCCGATCACACTAACATCATCAATCAGGGACTTGAAGACTGCCTGTTGATCCGATCGGACAGCAGATCCAATGAAAGCGTTTGCACCAAATCGGCGTCTGTCATTGGCTCCATATGTGGCCGAGTCTCCAATCATGTCAGGAGCAGGGCGGGTGGAATTCGTTGTTTTCGTAGTATTCGAGTGGCCCGAGTCTGATGAATTGGATGCGCTGTAGCCACTATCGGGTGCCTTACAAATCGCAGAGGATAGCAAAGCTACCACTGCCAATGGCACAATCGGAGAGTTCAACATCTTGGAGGTTTGACCACGAAAGAAGTAAAATTGGTTATTTCCTCTGAAAAAACGTGCTGGCAATGAAAGCGGTAAGATAAGATGGAGAAACGCGTAGAAAAGTTGATTCGTGTGGATAGATAGCTATCTGGAAGATCTGAAATATGTGATGAAGGCGACTGTGAAGACAAAGGAACTGTTGTCGCTGAAGTCTGAGGATGATGACAGAGAGAGAGAGGAAAGAGCTCTTCTTATATGCAATAAACCCAACAGCGAAGAGGTTTGTACCCAATATGGTGAATGATGCGAAGATCACCACTGTCTTGCTGACAACAAACCAAGACACGATCAAGCTTGAAGGACATCTGGACCTGGGATAGAGAAAAAGGTCAATGTGCATCACCCGTCGCGGTTCCCAGGTAGTGATCGGTTGGTGTCTCCTGCGAATCAAAGCAAGTCCTGAGTCCCTCAAAGTTTCAAATTTCATTGATTTTGCTTATCTGAACCCTGTGGGCTGTAGAGAACAAGTGAGTTATTTGGCGTACCGTGGCAGTCATGTCGGACTCAAAAATAAATTCAATACGTACCATATCATAACATGCTCCTTCATGAGCTATCTCTTGGGTTGTCGCAGGCTGAGCTTTGTGGTACGCGACGTGAATGATCGTGGTTCGCGGAAATTTTCCATTTTCGTGCACTCAGGCTGGTCCAATCTCGTCCAGTCGAATTTGACAGGGAAATATTATACGGCTCCATTTGCATCATACGTTCGAACACGGTACAAGGACCAGGAGTTTGATAGCAGCACTGATGAGCTTTGAGATGCCCTTGGATGGGTTTTGGGCTTGTTGGCGCGTCGAATTACGATTCGAACCTGACATGTTACTCTGTGGTAGACCTGACTAAGGGTGGCCTCGGGTCCGGCCCCGGGCTCAATTGTCAGGCATTTTATGATTTTTTTTGGACCCCGGTATCCCCACCACCCCCCCTTGGTAGCCCAACCCCCCCTCCTTTTCACAGTCCCTGTCACAGCTAGTGAAAGCCCTACTTACCAGTGACACAAGCTGTGACAGTAATGCAGTCCAGGCTTTGCCTCTAGCTGTCCTTGAGATTAGCAAACTTAACTAAGTCCCTCGTTGAGCTCAAGCCGCTCAAACGAGGGACTTAGACGCTATCTCATTTTTTTGGCGTGAGATCAGCCGGGGCTGTTTGCCAAAAACTGGCCTCCTTATAAAACTTTTTTTATGATTTCCACATTACTGCTTGCTAATAATGAAAAACACACGCCTAATTTTTTTGTACAATCTCAGACTCTCAGCTTTGAGATAGCTTGTGTGCTTCACAAGATATGTACAAATTTGTTGAGGACTCAAAGTCGAAATTTGCAGGGATTTTGATTGGTCCGCGCCTGAAACTTCAGTTTTGGTGTGCAGTCCACAACAACAACTTTCAACTTATCTCTGGTCCAAAAAATCATATCACAATTGTGACAGGGGAGGTTGAAGAGGAGATGCAGGCGCATGTTTTTTATTATGGGGACGGAGACATGTTGAAATTGTAAAAAAAAGTTCTATAAGGAGGCCGGTTTTTGGCCAAAAGCCCCGGCCAATCTCACGCCAAAAAAACGAGATAGTAGAGACCAGGCGCTACTTTTCGTTTTTTGTTGTTACGAACTTACAATATGGGGCTTGTTTTTCACCGTTTTCGTGACTTTACGTCTTATATTCGCCCGAGACATCAAATTGACATGCATTGCGCAGTCCGATTGACGAGTTTCGAGGTTCCTTATCGACGAGGCTCGCATGGGTTTGCTGGGTTTGGGTGAGGCACGCCATCCTACGCACGGAGGGGAATGGCAGCATACACATCGCTTGGCTGGACTACGGATGCTTGGCATCCGGCAGTGAAATTTTGGAAAGTTCCCTTTCTGGACCTCGCATTTTTGTTGTTATGCAAGCCGCTCACATCTGGATTTGTACCTTTTCGCCTTGGGAAAGCAGTTCTTGTTGCACTTCTCTCGATCTCAGAGAAGTGCAACAACCTTTGCGTCGTGATATCGCCACGAAATGGTATGGCTTTTGAGCAAACCTTACGATTGGATGGCGACTCGATTTCTGTGAAAGGTCTGGGCCGGTCTGGTATATATACCGGATGCGTAGGATTGCTTGGTGGCCCATTGCCCATAGTCATCTTGGTGTGTTACCTTTTTTTTTGGAAAGTGCCTTGCTTGGCCCCCAATTGGCGTCCTGCTGACATCCACTTTCGTTAGCTATACACAATTACCTTTGACGCTATACAAAAATCCCGGTACGTTTTTGAAAGTCTCATATTTTCGAATTCATATTCTTTTGAGACTTAAGGGTTTTTGGAATGGAAACATCAGAAAAACGAAATATGTCTCAAGCCAACTGGTCTCTATCCACCAGTCTGAACGTTTCCAATTGTTTGCCCGCTCAGGTGAGCAATTACGAGGAGGTTTGGCTCGTGCGTCCTACTGTAGTTACACCACAGATGCGTCCCGCCCGTCTGCAGACGGCCTAGCCAGGCGGACGCCAGACCGCCAGCCATCGCGTAGGGGCAGGCCGTCTGCCGTTGGCCCTCACACGCGGCGTCTGGCAGACGCCTGCTGTGCTCGCCTTCAGGCGGCATTGATTGCGCCTGCTGGCCAGCTGTGATCTGCCCTCAGACGGTCAGCAGGCCAAATGGGCCGACACACATTCGGGGTGCATCCGGCACTTGTGTTTGCTTACCCGGTCCGATTCAGGCATTCGGATATCTACACGGGGTGAATCAGGCTCTGGGTGGCTGAGCTCAGCTCAGCTCAGCACTGCTTGCCAACCCACGATTTGCACGATTTGTTTCACTCAAAAATTATTTCAATTTCAAAGTCACCGTTCTCTATCTCTATCTATAATACAAGTCTGATGAGAGAGAGGGACCAGGAAAACATAATGTAATACTTGACTCCATTTTGTAATTAGAATTTATATCTGATACGACATATTGAATAGATGGTCGACTTAAGCTATACTCGAGTTCGGGGTTTGGTTTGATGCAGATGTACTCATATGTTCCCCCCCTCCAGGCATTCGCGCCTTGATGGCCTCGTCGGTTGGCAAGTCCAAGGTGACTTTGGGATCGCGGCCTTTCAGGTTTTTGAACCAAAGCCGACCATCAAAAAGGTCGCGGTCCTCGTCATAGATGATTTGGTAGAAGCTGTGTTCGCATGTGTGATAAGTGTTAAGTTCAGCCATTGACAAAGTTTGGGGATACAATATTTATGATGACTAACGCGGTAGTATAGTCCTCATTTCTCTTCATTCGCAACTCGGCCAGCTTCTTATCAACAACAGCCCAAATAGATTCGCGCCCTTGGCCACCTTTTAGAACCAGTCTTGCCGCTTCACGACGCTGAGCACAAAAAAAAGGTTAGCCCTCAAAACGTTTTGATAACAGAAGTTCTATCGGAGCTTACAAGATAAGCGATTCGCGCTCGCGTGGGTTTATCGGTGGCTGCCCACACCTTTTCCACGTTGGTTTCCTCCACGGCCACTCCGCATCTGACAGCAACCTGATTCGCAAACATAATGAGTACTCATATCCCTAAATGAAGGAATGGCCACTGACTGACCCGTTGAACCATTCCCTTGATGTTGGGAACCGGAATGTCCACTAGCTCTTTCATTTTAGAATCATGTATCCCTGCCAAAAGCTGTTTTGATGGTGAGTTTACATACATAATATAAGAAACGTGAAACTAAAAAACTAACAACATTGTGGAGTTTTTCTCGCGCGTGTTTACCGGCGTCCCGCAGGGCACTGGCGTACGCTTGCGTATCAGCGGCCTCTTCAACACCGCAGACTTGGATAGGAAGGTGTTCCGCTGCGAATGCCACACCTTCCTTCGCAACAGTTTTCTATAGGAGAGCACACGGTCAGTCAAAGCCATCAGCCAATACAAAGCTGATTTCTTACCTTGATGGTACTAAACAAAGAATTGGGAAGATAACCTTCCGGGCCGTTCTCAATCGCGGTATACGCGTCGAGCAGGGGTGAAAAAAGTAGTTTGAGGGCTAAGGGGTTGATCAACCCCTAATCCTCAACCCTTTTCGAGGTAAGCTAGCTGCAATGATTCCACACCTGATCCAAAATCAATGCGAGATTACGTACCAGAAGTTTGTCACTGGCAACCCACTTTTGGCGCGCGGGTAGCTTGGGTTGCGTTCCTGGGGTAACTGCGGAAGGAGTGCCGGTAACGATTCCAGGGGTTTGAGCGCGTTCTAAAAGCGCTCGGGAGAGGACTGCCACTTGGTCGCTCAGCGCGTCAATCTTGCCATTGGCACGGACCACCTCCATGAGCAGCTTGAAGTGTGCAGTTGCGTAGGCCAGATGGCGATTGTTCTCGCCGTAAACCTTTGAAAATATCGAAAAATTAAAAAAAAAGTTGAGTGAAATATCAAAGGTTTTATTCTGAGGTAGACTCAGGCCTGGGTGGTGTACCTCTGATTGGGCCATGGCGAATGATTGAAAGGCCCCTTCCAATCCGCACTGCCTCGCCATCGCTTTGAAGATTTGCAAGGTTTGCACGGTGTAGAACTTATAACCCAACAAGGGTTATACAGAGCTGGAAGAGGATAATCTACTAATAAAATGACTAGTAGAAGTTGTCTAAGGACTGCTCTTCTAAAACAACACAATCAGAAAGAGCTCTGTTGTATTGAGTACTGATAAGGCACCAGAGAAATATAACTTCACACGTAATTTTAACTTCAAAAGCACACTTTGTATTACTATCAACACTGCTATAGTGTTATTCCCAATTGATAACTGAAAAAAAATAAGCAATATCTGATTGATATTATTCCCAATAAGTCTTTATGACTATAAAACTAAAGTAAATTTCTCTTTATAACTGTAATAAAGGGCGTATTTAAGTGAACAGGTACTATTAAAATAAGTTTATGATGATAAACAAAATAATAATGGCGTAAATGATAAAGAAAAAAAAGGGAACAACAGTCCCAAAACCCTCTCAAAGTATATATAACAATGTACTAGAACTTTTACAATGGTCAACAGCCTCAAAACCAATCAAATCCGCCCAAAATTCCCTAAAAACCCTATGATGACGCAATGTAATGGTTTTGCTACTAATAAATGATGTAATTTTCACAGCTAAAAGTGATCAATGACGCAATAATATGATGTACAGCACTTCTTATGATGAATACAGGTGATTTTTTCCTTGTAAACTAGCTGAAAACCAATTTTTGAGATTACGAATTTTTTCAGATGTGCTCCAATTTTTGATTACTAAAGTGCATCTTGTAGCCCACGTGTTACTGATCATTTCTGACACCTACATGACCTACTTCTGATGAGTGATGAGTAAGATATTGAGTTGTGAAGTTAAGGTTTTTAGTGTTACATATGACTTGTGACTGTAAATTCGAGATTCACACCAATTCTTTATTTGCCTTATAACTTTTTACACAAACCTCCGTTACTAATGATTTAAAGTTTGTACATTATGTAATCCACTCTTCTGCGTTGAATGAGCCATCTACCAACCTATTCTGACGTCATTTGACATATGTAATTAGCTGAAAACCTCCATTTTCCACGAATTTCACCCATTTTCTTCACTTTTCACAGCTACTACTATCTTTTTCTTGCTCATGTAATATGACATCATCATCTATAGCCTTAAAAATCCCGGAAAATCCTCTTGGCAACCTTAAATTCCATCACTACCACTATTACACAACCAAACTACACGTGTACCTCTTGTTTACCAACTTCGAAAAAGTGCTTTTTTCCTAATAACTTCTGTTTCTACTTATCAACCTTGAAGATTAAAATTGTCATAGTATCATATAATGCTGTTCTTTCATATTCTAACCTCATAATACCCATAACTTTATTTTTACTAACCTAAAAACCATTTTCCAACCTTTATACCTATAATTTCGAATTTTTCTTATGTTTTTCTTTCTTTCTTTTTGTAATAAATTTGTAAGTAAACTATAATGATCTTAATATATAATGTGAAATAAAATGATGTAATGTTGACCTAATGACCAATACATAAGCCTACAAGAGCTTCAATTGATCAAAAACCTCCATTTCGAATTTTCTTTCCTGCTGAATCCTGCTAATAAACTGGTAAACTGGTAATTGTGAATTTTTTAATTGATCCCATAAATTGATCACCACAACGGGAAGCGGGGAAGAAAAGTAAGGGGTTACTTCGCTGGGGTTATCATCCGGGTGACCACCGATGGGTGGCTCAGTTCCACGAGCGCCTCGTGAATTGGTTTGCGAGGCTAAACCGCGAGGTGGCCTCTGGGGACCAGTTGGAGTGCTGGTTTGCCCTGCTGGGGAAACCGATCGCTCGTCCCGCTCGCGACGAGCAGGATCCAAGGGCAAACGGTCCTCGTGGCGAGGAGTGCGCTGAAATTGAAAACCGCGAGACATCTCATGGCTGTCCCGTCGATCTGTTGGGGAGTCAAAAATACCTAAAACGCACACGGGGTGATCAGCTTCAGGCTGCCCAAAGTGCTTAGGAACTCGAACTCACCAGTTGAGTTCCTAAGTGAAACATGGTTGTTGAAACCTTGAAGCTGACCGCCTGCCGAAGGGGATCGGAGGCCATTGCCAAGGTCTTGAGAACCTTGCCCGGGATTTGGGCCTCGACCAGTGATTTGATCCCCTGGAAAGGGCGAAGTGAGTACAACACCATTTACATATGTGGGAAAGCTTACCAAAGTTGAAAGAAGAGTCCATGTTCAGCATGGTGGTGGTAGAACTCGGTTTGGGCAGATCAAGCGGAATGCCCAATTTGTTTGGGTTGTGGGAAGCAGAATTTTGCAAGGCGTGTGGTTTGCAATTTTTTTTGCAAACCACACTTGACAAAAGTGGTAGCCCAGCGCCACTTTTTGTCCTAACTGATCTGAAGTGTGGGCCACTTCAGATCGCTCAAAAGATCTTCGGTCAGCCCTCCAAAATCAGATTGGAATTCTGGAGATACCATCACAACCCACCACCATGTTGCCCAAAAGAACTCGCAGCCATACCTCTCAGAAGGTCCAGCGTAAGGTGAATCGAAAAGATTCTTACCTTGGGTTTGCCAAAGATTCGTGAGTCCAATTCGTTCCACCTGATGTTCATAATTCAAATGAAACTGATCAGTTTCGTGTCCTGTTTGCCTGAACCCAGTGAATCGGATTCGAGTCAACGGGAGCGAGTCATTGCCAAAAAGGAAGACTCACCCCGACCGGCGCTCGACTGCCTTCAGGAAGATGCGAGCAGGACTCCAGGTCCAGAGTCCCAGAGTTCTCACGGCGCTGAACGTGAATCCTCCACTGACGTTCAAGTGGACAAGTTGGGTAGGTCTTTGAAAAACTTGAGTCATAGAACACATAAGTCACCAATAACTGATGTGTTCTTTATAGCGTTCTCTGTTGACCGAGGGAGGGTGATTTTTTCTAAACTTCGAAAGATCATGGAATCTACAACATTGAAGGATTATCTACACTTTTGCCATTTGGAAGCCGAAGAGATCGAGCATGTGCTACCGATCCTTCTGTCGAATGGGGTCAATCATTTTGACCTCTTCTTATTTGTGGACTATGTGAACTGGGACGTTTTGCGGAAATGGGGTATCTCAGTAGGAACCAGCGCTCGCATTATGGTTCATGCGGTCATGTACTATCAATTTCACGTCGGAAGGGGGATTTGATTGGGTTGTGAATTTAATTTTGTCGTACATGAAATGCAACAACAGTGTTCAATCTTGCATCATGAGATGGATTGTGGATTGATATCATCATTAGCCTTTGTTTGGAATTATTGATGGTGACTAAAAGCGTTGGTGAAAGGTCAAACAAGATCTGAGCGATATCTAGCCTGGATATCGCTCACGAGATTGAGTTGAGATATGATCGATTCCGAAACGGAGTCATTGATATCACTTCATCAGACGTGATATAAACAACTCCGAAGTTTGCTTCACGCTATCCATCATAACTTGTCAAACTTCTATCAAACTTCCCAAAAACACAAATCACCCAAAATTCACAATGCTCATGAAACCGGTCAGAATTCTACCCCCTCGGATGTCACCCAAAGTGCTCAAATTGATTGAGAAGGCACGTGCGGAAGGCCAGAACCTTGAGGCAATGGACCACCTCCTTGATATGCTCGACTTTGGCGAAATGACCCACTACGCCAGCTTGACCACTCGCCTGTCATGCGAAGGAGCCAATTATCCTGATTGGATTGCCCGGCTTGACCAAACCATATGGACACTGGCGAACAAACGATTTTACTTGCAATCGCCACCTTCGGAAATTACCACCCTTCTTGACTTGGTTTTGGACGAAGTCGTGTTGGCCATGATTCACGCCACAGTTCATTGCACTGTGTCTCACGCGCTTGGAAATATGAGAGGCGCGCATGATGCCGTCATGTGGATCAAATGGTTCTACGATATCAACAGTAAGTTTCGTATCTGAAGAACCTGATCTTAGCATATCAAACTGAACTTTGTTCATTTGCTCAGCTTCAGACAAAGAAATCTATACCTTGTGGTGTTTGTAGGATCACACAAAGGTTGTGTTTTTGGAGAAAATGAATCTTTATCTTTGGCATAAATTTAACACGAGGCATTAAACAGAAAGAATGGATTCACCATATTATAATCCATTCAAAGGGGATCATGGGATGTCAATGGCTGTAATTAAGTCACCATAACATTAATGGATTATAACATTCAGTCCTGGTCATCATTATATATTTGCTTTGACTATTCATTATATATTTGCTTTGACTATGCTGATACTGAATATGGTTCAACCTCCTGTGTGACGTGCTTCCGCTTGCCAGTATTTGAGACCTTGTTCAATTGCCTTGTTCCATTGATCCGGTGAGACTGGGGTCATCAGGTCACCCAAAAGCTGTTGATGAAGCTCGCCAGAGTAATGAGCTGCTGCATTGAGGATGAAAGACTTTGAATCAACATGGTCAACCCCCCAAAGACCAATGGTGGATACCCTGCGCTCAATCAGTTTGCGTCTATTTTTGGCCAAATTACAATGTGAGTCATGACAGTTGTGTTGAATGTTGAGCAAGCACACAATATCCTGGTAGCCGTCACAAATAAAAGTGAGTCAATATTCATTCCCTCATATCCTGTGAGTGCAACTACTGACTTTGACATTTCTGGTCACTATTTGTTCGGTTACCTTGACCTCACACATGCCATAAAATTGGTTGATTGGCCCCTTTTGACAAACTTTGATGACAATATGGGTGTATGTATCAGATACCCCATCAAGCTTCCAGATTGATTGTATTTGGCCAATTGCTGAAGGGGAGTTCACCTGGAAGGGAAAATGTTAATGAATTGGCCTGACTTCCCCCACATGAAATCAAAGTTTATTTCACAAACCAGAACAAAATCATCTTTTGCTGCCTTGTGATCTCCAAGTAACTTGATACTTTGGTATTCTTTTAACTTCCCACGGTCTACACTCGGTGGAATGCAAGAAGGTGCAATGGATTGGTGTTCACACAAGCCTGAGAACACTAAGTCAGTGGAAATGAAAGCATATAAAGCATATCCAAATTATGACTTACGCCCAATCGAGTATGTGGTGATACACCCCAATTTGTTGTCCAGTCGCATTGCTTTGAACAACTCAGGTACAGAAGATAATAAAGCCTTCAAACGGGGGCCGCTATAGACACGAGATTGAAGATCTTTGTCAAAAAAAGATGAACCAGAAACAAACACTCTCATCAACTGCTGAGTGTTGGATGTGTTTGCTATGTCTTGCCCGGGACTCTGATGATTTGAATGTATTGAAGCATGTCGAGTAACCCCATTGAACGCCTCGAGTTTTTCAGTAGCAAAAAGACAAGCTGGCCCAAACCGTCGAATTGAATCTTGGAGGTGAACAAGCATGTGAAATTTGGGCTTGTTGACCCAGCGAGCATTGAGGGAAATTAGGTTCTTCAGAAATCTTGAAATCGCAACGTCCAATTCACCTAAGTATTTTTTCATGTTTGGTATCTCTGTCTGAAAAATATATGAGCTGAGAACACAGAGAGATGTCCACAATTCGCGTTTTTCCTCGGAAAGGTGTTCAAACAGCACAAAGGGAACAGACTGTAACACAGTCCGGAATTCCTTACCAACTAGGCTCTGATAATAAGTGATCATTGTGTTTGGTTGAATTGGTGGGATGTTTAAACCGCTGGTGTTGAAGGACCTCCATCGGCCAGAAAGATCGTTGTACATATTTGAGCCTGCTTTGATATTTCCAAGCTCTTTCATTGTGACACGGAGAAGATACTTTGTGATACCTAACAATGCCACGTGGAGAACCTCCACCGGAGTATCTTTGTGACCATCAAAACCTACAAAAGGGAATTGGTGGCTCAGCTACTACTCACAAAAGTAATTTGTGAGTAACTGACCTTTGAGTCTCAACATGGGATTGAAGATATGTTCCCCATGTTGAGCATTTACTTCTTGACATAGCTGCTCCACCTCGGCTGGGGGGAGAGACTCATGAGCTACCACAACCTTCTTCTGAAAAAATTCGTTCATTGGATCTCGCACGCCAAAATCACGGCCCATTGCTTCTACTCGAGTCTTCGTGTGGCGCTTTTGCGCGGTGTTCCACATTTCTTTGGTCCAGCGTCTAGTCTGGTCCCAATCGCGCCCAGGTAATAGACACTGTAAAGATAAGTCAGCTCATTTCAAAAATGACTTTCCAAAGGGAAGTCTACCTCATACCTTCTCTCCATCGTCATCCAGGCCAAGGAAGTCTCTGACAAAGTTTTCGGATTGTTTGTCAGCCTGCTTGGACACATGTAGATCACACATGCGACAAGGAGTAAGAGTGTTGGCTGGGTTGAGAGTATTTGAGATCTCTGCATGCATCGGTGAGTCGCCCAGGTGGAAAAGAGACACTGCCATCACCAACACATCCGCACCAAGGGTGTGATCATATGCAAAGAAGCCATTGGTCCCATAGTCACTACCGGTGTTAAGCAAGCATTATCAATACCCAGAAACAACCGTATAAGTAAGGAAAAGAAACCGCACTTTATATCATCAACCACCTGATCAAATAGCTCTAGAGCTGTGGCACAATTTGAAGTGGCCAGGAAATGGATATTGAATTCTTGATTTGATAGATCCGGAGGTAAACCGGCCAGAGTCAAGTAGATACTCATGTGTTTGTTCCACTTTTTGGAGACGTTTCCTGATGTGTCATCAGAATAAAGTGCCAGAGGGACATGTCGGATCACTTTTCCTTGTGCCTTGGCTCGCCACGGGTTTTGAACTGGATGAGAAGGGACCGTAGCGTGTTCAGAATCTACAAATAGATAATGAGTCCAAATAGATGTTGAGTCTCTTGAGTTTTCACCAACACAACCAAATGTATTTTGAGACACTACAGACAAGGCTTACCATACATATAATTGCCACACAAAGTTTGCAGAAGAACACCATTATCCACCTCAATATGTCCAAAAGTTCGCCAGAAGTCTTTGCAAGGAATGGTAAAGAGAGTGTTGGAGTCAAAAGCACAATCTTCAGGAATGATGATTTTGAGATTAGATTGACGATGAGGGTCTTGTTTTACTAAGGCAGGAAGACACCTTGACATCAGACAACCGTTTTGTTGGAAGAAGAAAATAGGCATCACAAGCTGCTGAGTTTTAAGTTGGACCGGCTCGTAGATGTAGTAGTGGATATTGTTGTATGATATCATTTGAACACGTAAGTCTGGTGGATAATCTTCACGCCACTTTTCGCACTGAGATAGACGGTTGATAGGACCAGGAATGGTGAGCTCAGGCACATATATCAAATGTGGGCTGACCAAAGGGTTCGCCAACTCCTGGATAGAACAACTGTTTAGCTATGATCAAGCTGGTCAAATAACTAATGATGGTAGAATCACATTACTTATGATGGTCTTGACATCCAATCCAAACAGTGGATTCCCGCAAGGACTAATCCGTTCACGTATGTTAAGACCAAGCTTGTTCTTCATTCTCTTTACAAGTGCCCTCAAAGTACCCCAATCTGGAAGCGTGACTGACATAATACGGAGGCGAGACCTTATTCGCTGGTATTGGGTACGCGAGAGGAGGTTCCGGTTTGACCCAATCATGAGCAAGGCAACCACATGCTTTCACCGTTAAAAAACCATCAATGAGTGTCTAATGATATTTTATTGTGTTATAGTCAATCTACATACCTCTTTCTTTTTGAAGGGGTACCATGCAGCTGCCTCTTCAACTCTAATTCCTGCAAGCTCACGGTCCAAAGCTTCCTCATAGCCAGCTTCATCTTCAATGTCATCAAGTCCAGTTTCAAGAGCAGCAAAGGCATCACGAAGCGTATCAAAATCTAGCCGCATGTCTGAGTTATCTGATTTGTATCCATTCACATCGGTTTGGCCAAAAGAGCAGAGGGATTGAAGGCGTATTGGAAAGATCATTGTCATCTTCAAAATAGTTGTTTAAGTTGATTGGAGGTGGCGTTGGGGATCTGTCCATTGGGGTCTGGATCTGCTGACGGAAGGCTCTGTCTTCTGCTTGTCTTGTCAGGAATTGCTCAGCGGCACGTAGGTGTGCCATTGAAGCAACGTGAGATTCATATGATTTCATAGTGCGGCTCTGTGTACATACTTCACATTGATACCTTAATGGACTCTTACTTTTTTCAACAATAACTGTGTGTGTGGAATTGAAGTGTCAGTTAGACCACCATTTGTAAGACGTGCTTGAAATAAGACTTACAGCGTGGGAGATCCATTGTGATTGAACAGGATTGGGAGAAGTTAATGAGGTGTGGTTGTGTTGTGCAGTTGATGATGTGGTAATGGGCCAAAGTGAATTTGGGAGGGGAGTGCAATCACCAATTGCAGCGGTTGTTTTCGATATGCGGATCGGGTTAGCCCGGAACGAGCATGCGCACCTGCTGGCCGCCTGCAGACTGGGTGCGAGGCGGTCTGCAGGCTGTTTTTGGGCCTGGGCGACTCGGATTGCCTCGCTGGCTGAATGGCCGCCTGCAGCCCGCCTACAGACGGCCTGCAAGGCGGTCTGCAGGCGGATTTTGGGCCCGACCGTTGGCAGGCAGCGTGAGACTGATTTCTGCCTGAAAGCCCTTCCGTGGTGTAGCTAATTTGGTACTCTGGTAGTCTTCTGAAGCCACGCCGCCGATGCAACCTCCTCGTTCGACGTGGGCGCCATTGGCCACACGGGACGCACCTCAAGTCGAGGCAGGGCGCCTGCCTAAGTCAATCATGTTTGGCTCGCTGCAGTTTGAACACCAGGAGCGCCGCCCTGGGACCCCTGTGAGCTCATCTGTGATGGTGGTAGGTCCTCCGCGTGTGCCTCAAATGCTAACTCGTTTTGGTGGTGGACCCCATCAGATTATGGGCCGGCCCAATCTTCATTTCGCACGGGGTCCAGGCGTAGGTGACATTGGTCAGAGGGGTGATCCGACTAAGGTGCTTATTCCTTTAGTTTGTGTTCTTCTTGGTTTGGATGAAATCGACTGACCGACTGGGTTTTTTTTAGCGAATCATTCCTCAGGATGCGCAGGTGAAGATTCCCTCGCTGTTACCCCCGGGTGACAGCAATCAAACATCTGTGGGGGCTGTGTGGGTTCCCATTCCCAGGTCGTAAGTGCTTTGCTTTCTCGATTGATTATGGTTGGCTTTCCGCATGATCTGTTGACTGTGGTCAATATGTTTTGCCTGGCCGATAGGGAGCGGAATGGTGAGGGGCATACGACATATGTGCACGATGTCTCACATCCACCGTGGCGGTCCAAGGATGACTACAATAGTATTGTAGACTGGAGATCTCACAGAGTGATAAGTAATGATCGCATTGCTGTCGGTTTCAACGGGGTTTGTGACGCCGCCCGCTCGCTCAATGGCCTCAGTCATCAGTCGGACCCTCTTCCCTGGTTTCGGGATGGAGCCAATCCAGCACGGGAGGCAGTTACCTCTGCGAAGTACAACTTGCATGTACTTCGAGAATCAGGGGAGAATGGTCCTTCGTCATCTGGTGAGGATGAATGCCTCCAAAGCCTATTGGCTGATTCGGATGAAGACCCAGTTCCAGCAGGGCAGTCTGGTGAGTATTACAACCTATGTCATGTCGTTTTCATAGGTCCAAGACTCATGATTTGGTTCTGCCTCCAGTTGAACGATTGCTTTCCGCTCGCAGGCAGCCACCTGCCCCTGCGTCCTCTTTGGCATCAAACGGACAGTCAACTTCATCGTCCGCTAACGGAACCGCGAGCACCTCGGCCGAGAATCCCCGGATTCAGAAAGGGTCCCCAGTCAAAGATCCTCGTGATTTGACTGACAAACCATGGACCCGATCCCGTTCGAACATCTTGGAACGAGGGCAATCGGCTCAACTCGAAGAGGTTGATGAGCTGGACGATGTCTTGGACGCGGTGCCAGATCCCATTCCTTCGCAACCGAGTCCGGCTGCGAGTTCCACGCCTAAAGACCAAGGGCGCAGAGGACGAGGTGGACGATCCACTTGAGCTCGTAAGTCACGTGGTGGACGTTCAGGTGTCGGCTCTTCGGGGGCCACTATCAAATTGGTTCCCGTGGGTCCTCCTCCCAACCCTCCCATGCCGTCGATTCCAATCGTCATTACCCCGGCACCTCGCCGGCATCCCTTTCCTCGTCTCACCTCGCCGATCCCTAGTTCCCAAGGCCAGCACACTTGTGCTCAGTCACAACCCCGGGAAGTAGCTCCCTCTAAGCCTCTGTTGATTGAAGACGTCAATCTTTCAACAGAGGCTCCTGGTCAGCAACGTCCGGTCAACACCCCTGGTCTCACCCCCTTCGACAACAAGAGACCGCCCCCTCGGCTTCTTTCGCCACCTCCAGGCAACAGCCCTGAGGTAGCATCTGGCAGATTCAGGTGGCCCGAACCGGGCCACCTCGACGTGCTCTGGCTGTCCATGCTGGCCTCGTTTGAACCTTTCGCGGTGGCAAAGGAGACGGTAGAGCGGTTCCGTCAATGTACGCTTCATCTGACGGTGAGTTTGTGTATCATTTCAAACCTTTCGCAGGATGATTCTCATGCCAATCTGAGCACAGACCCACCCGCATACTCGGCATCATTTCTCTCAACTGTCCACTTTGAAAAACACTTATACTTTGAGGTATCGATTTGAGACGCTCAAGAGTTGGCTTCGCAAGGTCGAAGCGAAGTCACGGGTGGCCAGTGGGGTGCAGGAAAACGACGGGGAGTTGCGTGAATTGATCAAAGGCCTGGCAGATCAAGAAGAGGTCAGTTGCCTTTTTCCATAATTGACATTCCAAACGGTGATTTGACATGTGTACATACATGGTGTTTTAGGAGCTCAAGATCCTGACTGACAAAGCCAGGGCAGATAAAGCCCGCGCCGCGGCTGCTTTGGCTCAAGCGAATCAGCTACGAGACGCCCGCGCCTTCAGACCCCATTCGGCGCCTGCTCGTATGGCTTTGGGCCAGGTTGAAGATGGCGAGGAAGACACTGAAGCTGAAATTGCGAAACGAACACCTACCACCTTGCGGGCGTTACGTGACGGTGTGCTGAACAAGCTTGCCGGGGATGAAAATGTGTCTCAGATGGTGAATGTGACCCTGAAGAACAGCGAGGCCGCTGAACGGGCGAACGAGCTCACCGCGGTGGCACTCGAGCGCCACCAGGAGCAAACCGCGGTGACCAATGCCCAGCGCGAGCGTGAGCTGGCCCAAAGTCAGGCCAGATTGGATCTTGACTCTCAGACGGCCCGTGAAACGATTGCTTTGAGACGTGAGGAACTTCAGGCCGCAGGCGCTCGTGAGGACAAGAAAGACAAGACCATCAACGAGCTGAAGTCTTTGATGGATTCCGTCCAAAAAAACCTTGCTGACATGGGGTCAGTCATCAAGATGATTGCCGAGCGATTCCCTCCGGGCAATGGGTCCTGATGATCCACAATTTCGAGTAGGTCTTACATGCTTCCAAGTCTGATGTCAATATGAATTATACTGACATCATCTGTTCCTTTCCTTCCGCCCACCGCTCACCATAGTGATTCTTCCGTTGGTCACGCGATATGACCAACGATCATTACATTCTTAATTGTGTACTTTGTTTTCTTCATCCTGATCTATGACTACTCTGTTTTGTTTGGTATTACATCCTCCTACATATTACATTTGTATCATCGAGCCCGTCCAAAAGTTATGGATGATATTACTTTTGTTAACATAAAGATCACTTGTATTGCTCATGGTATTTGCTCAATGAACATACCTTCGTAATCAGCCCCATGAAAACAGTTGACACAAGTCACATGAGACCCACATGAAAACCTTTGACTCAGAATCAAATCTTCATAAGTTGAGAGAAATGTGATCAATCTCATAACTTATGAAGATTTGAATTTGAGTTAAAGACTCGGTTCCGATGCAACCTCCTTGGATCGTACCTGGGTGAGAGCCAGTCTTTTCAAGAGTGATGGACGCACTCCTCACTCAGACTTCACCTGCATGAAAGAATCATGCACGTTGGTCGTGTATAAACTCTTCATATTCAGTGGTAGGAGGAAACCACTGAAAACACATAACAATAATTGCATTTCTCAATTTTCAAACAAACTTATTTTATATACGAATTCAGCCTACTATGTGTGATAGGCAGATTTCGTGAAATTTTGACGAGTACATCAGAGAGTTTCATAGATTAATCAATAGGGTTAAGCCTCATCAACCTGCTCATTGGGATCTTCGATAACCTCATGAGCTCGATCTCTTGGGACCAAATCATTAGGCATCCTTCTCCCCGCCAGATACACGTCCAACGTCGGAGGAGGGGCTACCCCACCCAAGGGACCCCGACCACAACATACCAAGAAGTTTTTCATAATCACTGCACAGTGATAAAACTGGTTCAGTTCATTGACATAGAACCTTAGATTGCCTGACGTGTGTACAAAAGAAATACCCATTAGAATTCATTGATGTCATTTGTAATCCACACATCAAACCGATCACTTACCCTTGTACTGAGTCATTCGAATTATATTTCTTAGACGTCCAAGCTCATGTTCGACAGCCACCCGCACGCTGGCCATGATCCAATTAAAGGCTGCTTGTTCTGGACCGAGATTCAGGCCTACATACGGCGTCAGAAGAACCGCGGAGTTTTGATACCCTTGATCCCCGTAGAGCATCATTTGACGCCCATCGAAACCTTTAGCATTGCGTTCCAATACCTCACTCAGCCCCGACATCCTCAAGATTGCTGTGTCATGTCGAGACCCTATGTAGGCCTCCGTTAGATTGGCCGTTATACCGCTAGTGGAAACGCGACCAGTGTGGTTAGCTAAGCCGAAGATCATATAAATCACAAACTCGACTCACTCAGGGGTGACCGCAGCCTGGTATTTCAGGCTGTGGACACGCTTGTGGCCATTATAAAATGCCCGCTGATTGTACTTTGGACGAGCCATGCGCCACACGGTTCCTGACGGCCACAAGTCAGCCGAGGTCGAACGAGTTGAAGAAGAGTGTGCCAGTCAACTCACCATCTAAGAATCCCACGCAATTGTCCATTGGGCAATTGCGTTCCTGCACCAAACTTGTGGCAAATCCTTCGAGCACGTTGGGAGGATACCGGCGGGGATCCCATTGTAACAGAGAACCCCAGTTCTCATATATCCAACTTTGGACGGCTCGACAGATCCGACCAATGATTGAAAGTTCGCGTCCAAAGGTTTGTGACAGATCAAAATAACAAGACGGCGTCGCCAAACGAGCCATGTATATGGCTAGAGCTGTTCGACCATCTTCTCGAGCACGATTAGGCAGAATGATGGTTTCTGGGAAACCACCCCAGTGGTGGATGGCCAGGATCTCGTCCGGATAAAATCGAGTGGTCATTTGACTGATTTGAGGGTGCCATGTCTCAACATTCACACGACGGCACGACAAGTCAGGTAGCGGATCACCTCCGAGTCGTTCCATGTAAGTCAAATACTGGAGGATCTCCCGATATTCTTCAACTTGGTAGATATGCCACCAGGCGAGCATTAGCATTGGATTGCCTAGAGCTGGAGATCGACTGGTTCAAAGTCCGTTGGGGTGAAAGAGCATCGATTCGGCAGGCATGGTTAAGATGTTACGCTTTAAAGTTGAAGCACGTGAAGAGTGAAAGACGATTGGTGAGGTTGAAGGTGAAGTGTGATCACTGAACACGTGAAGGGGTGTTGTAGCAGCGGTTCGACGACCACACCCGATACCCGGACCAAGTGTCAATGAAAGGGACATCCCAGAGGGCATGGGTTTAAATGGGTCAGATTGTCACACTCTGTATTCTGTCACGCGAACTCTAATTGAACTTGCATGCTGATCCCTAACCCTAAAGCCGCTCTGAAGTTGGAATTCTGCTAAAAAACGGGCCAACCTGCGCCTGGACCTTAGTGTCTAAGTCCCTTGTTTGAGCGGCTTGAGCTCACCGAGGGACTTAGTTAAGTTTGTGAGATTAGCCACAACGCGAGTGAAAAACTGCCACTTGGGTTTTAGTCTTCATTTATATCCTTCCATTCAAATTTACAACTCAACTTCATCGAGGAACTCGAATGGCTCATTAATGTCACCTTACCTTAACGCTTAACACCCAAATTCATATTCTTCTAATACTGGTATAGCACTTGGGACAATTTTGAAGTACACATCAGCTAATCAACCTTCCCAAAAGTATTTAGCTTCTACTGGTTCACTACCTCCTTATGAATGAATCAGAAAAAAATTGATACCAATTTCTAGATGATTTGATGTGACTACTACTTTGGGTTACCGATTTGCTTGGTCTTGGATTGGTCGTGAATATGAAGCTTTTTAAGATTGGCATTGTGCTGTGGGTCTTCAAATCAAGTATCACTTGAGTTTGGGCCTCTTACTTCAGGAGGATTCTTTTAAATTTGTTTACAACTTTCAGGCTTTTGTCTCTGATAAGAATGTTGTGATTGAGTCATTGAAGATACTAAACCTTTGCCAGATAAAGAGAGCTACTGATTCTCCAATCTGCATACACAGTTGATGACACTCAGTAAAAAAAGAAAAATTGATTGTTCTAGTACATTGATTTTGAATTGTTTTAACTCATTGATCTTCAATTACGGTACTCAAAGCAAGTATGTACGCTTACATACTTGCCTGTACATAGTTTTTTGCAACTATGTACAAGTATATACAGCCGACCCAAAGTTTATTTTTTGATTCAACTTCATATCCCCTTTATTGGGACGTTTAGGACTAGAAGACTCGCGTTAGTTCTAATCTACCGAAACAATAAGAAAATGTGACAATTGCATAATAAGGAAATTGTGTTCTAACCTAGAAGACTCGCGTTAGTTCTAATCTACCGAAACAATAAGAAAATGTGACGAGAGAAAAGAGAACAAGTTTCAGGAAGACACAAGAGTCTTTTATACAAAACGTGTTTCACAAGGCGTTTACACTATGACGAATTAGGAAAAGAAAACCCTTAGTCAAGATCACAATCTTCCCTTTTCTTCCAGCTAGTCCAGTCTTACATTCATAAACATTCCAACCGGTCTAAACCGAAAATAGGTGAGACTAGGCGTTTGTCTTGTCATCTCCGATGCCAAACCAGTCTGAGCCTTAACACCCTTGACGCCCAATCCCCTTTCTCATCATACAGAAGAAGGGGGTTGAGCAGTTGAAAAGAGAACAGATAAGGTATGGGCACTCGCTTGAGCAAGCCCAAGTGTGAGTGCTTGACAACAGCCAACACAAGGCATGATTGAGGTAAGAAGTATACTAGTGACCCTCAAAGCTACATACTTTTCAACCCAAATATACTTTTTTTCCCCGCCAAAAAAAACAAAAAAAGTATGTACGCAAACTATGTAGCTTTGAGTACTGTAAATCTTGTTTTTCAATTGGTCAGAGTAATGTTGCTTCATGTCATCCGGTTATTCGTATTCAATACTTGAATTTAATTGAATGATTGAATTGCTAAGCCAAAAGTTGAGAAAACTTGAGAAAACAAATCCAGAGACCTTTCAGTGCGGAGCACGGCGGTCTGGACATTACTGTCACAGCTTGTGTCACTGGTAAGTAAGGCTTTCACTAGCTGTGAAAGGGAGGGGGTGGTGGGGATACCGGGATCCTTTTTTTTTGGTTTGGATTTGAAAAAAACAGATCCAAAAGGGTCAAGTAGTGGTTACCCAGGGTTGCCCTCAACTCTTTGAAACTGATCATCATTTGTTTTCAACTCCAAGCTTCAATTGTTTTCAAATAAAACATGAACATTTGGATCAAACTTCAAGATAAGATTGAATATAGATGTATATATCAAGATTAAAGAAAACTAAACCATCATCATCATTGTCATCAAAATAGCCTATACTCAGTTGTTCAAGTCCAAATGCATACTTAATTATTTATTAGGTGTGTTCAAACCTAACCCAATTGCCAAAAAACCGGTACAACTGGTTGAGTTTTTGGCTGGAAGGTGTCAATAATTGTCAACTCAATACACAAAGGTCAAAGAAAGCAACTGGGTGCAAATCACTCAGCAAACCTGCCACCTTGATGCCAAACTTTCCACCATAGCCACCCACATTCAAGAAATGACACCACAGCATCAGCACAGAGCACTGGTTAAGATAGATATAAACTTGCCCCCTAACCAAAGGACCACCCCAGAGTTTACCAATCTTGTTCACAATGTACTGCAATTTACCTGAGGCTGTAAGCAGGTATAATGACACTCTTCAAGTTGCTTGCATGCTTAACACTGTCACTCCCAGCAAAAGGTAATTTTCCCGAGCAAAAAATGATTACATTTAATGCATTTTTAATCAAAAATGCTCATTTAATGCTGAATAATGCTGATTTAATGCTGATTTAATGCTGATCAAATGCATTTTCAATCATTTGTTGCTCTAAATGTATTCATTTTTTACTTGGGAAAATTACTTTATGCTGGTAGTGTGTATTGTTTCAACTAGATGTATTTCTTGCTGAAAACTCATGGTTCCCTTGGGCAAGACCCTTGAGAGCAGGTGAGGCAAGTTATCAATATCTCAGTAAGTGACTTACCGTCAAGACCCAGTAGCTTCATATGATTACAATGATGTCCCAGAATCCCCAGAATGATTCACTCACAGGTCACCCTGGTGCACCTGACTTGTACCACACTCTAGGAGAAATGGATCACTATATCTTATTTTATCTTTTATTTTTTTTGTTTTTGTTTTTATTTTTTCTGTTTCTTTTGATTTCATTCATTTTTCTGTTTTGTGTTTGAGTTTCCTTTTGTTTTGTTTCTTTATCAGATTTCTTTCTTTATTTTGTATAAGGAGGGGTTTTTGAATTTTTCTTCTATTTTAGGAGGGGAGGGTGTACGTCCAGATTTGAGCCAGTGGAGTAAGAAAACCACAAATTTATTGAGGAAATTCTCGTACATTTTCTGAAACCCAGCCAATTTTTTTACCCAAGGTAAATGAAATGTATATTCTTTGTGTGTTTGTCCAGTACTAGTTTATGTAAAAATTTGTGAAATCAGATGACATCATTTCAAAATTGGTGTTGTTGCAGGGTGAATTTTTAGTTGAGGAGAGAATGGCAATTGTATGATTGGTGACATGGGTTCTCAACAAGTAAATGTGACATATATCATCACCTATCTGAATACATGGGACAAGTGCTATATTTTCTGATTAATTCATACACGGCAAGAATCTGTATCATTACATAGGGGAAAAATTCTGGAACTGTCACTCTTGTCCTTTTGCATATTTTGAAAGCTCAACTTTGGGGAAATATTGCAATTCCAAAGATATGGGTGTATGGTGTGGTTTTTGGTTTACCATGATAAAAAATGTGATACTGTATCTCAAAGTAAAAGTATTAAAGGTTTTCAGGAGGCCATAAGTGTTGCAAGTGGTAGATGTTGAGCAAGATAACAATTTGGATACCCATATCAATATGATGGGGCTTGTGATGGTAATTCATGTGGTTGTGTAGAAACATTTTATCCAAAAGTTGAGTGGTCAGTCCAGGACATGTTTACATGGATTAACATCTGTGTAAAAATATAAATGAATCACTTGTGGTCCATGTGGAATAATGTATTGCATCAACAAAGGGTTTTCATCACACGTACACTAGAGTGATGTCAAGCTGTATGAGGATTGAATCTCTATTACAAACCTGGTGATTAGGAATCACATATCAATTAGATTACATACAGACATGTGAAATAACATCATGTGAGCCATTGAATCACTTACATGACATGCAACATCAAGTTGCATTCCTATTACATCACATTGAGAAAATGCTATCAATTATCACTTGTTTGAATCCTTCATGTCAGTGCATAACACCATGTGATGTAAAATTTTTGGTGGTGGAGATCTACCAATTAGGATGGTGATGGAGGATGATTCTCAAGGGAGGTGGTGAATGATGGATCTTGAGGGGTTCTGTATGATTGGGACTTGTGATAAGGTACCTTGTAAAATCTGAGGAAAAGTTTACAAAGTAGTCAATTGGCACAAGGTTCAAGAAAAGACAGAATGTGATTTCTAGAGGGAAAAATGTAATAATAGTAAAGTCTTCAGATTACACAAAAAAGGATGTATTTTGTAAGCATTCCGTGATCTTTCACAAACAATTGCTTAAGTTGATGTGGCCTTAATCAAACAGATCATTCAAGGGCCCATGTTGGGCCACCCAACCAGATATAACACTCAGAGTTGGTTTGAGTGCACTCATTTACTCTAGCAAGATCATTTGGCGCACATGTTGTCAAGATGGTTATTCCAGTTCAACTTCCAGTGATATTAGGGGTTGGGCGAAATTTTGACCAACCGGTTTCCAAACCCAGTTCAATCGTAGTCCAAAATTTTGGGAATGCTTTTGAGATTGCTCAAAAGCAATATCAAAGCCATGCATAACCAACCAACATTTTTGTTGCTCTTTTTGCTTTGCAAAAAAAATTACCGGTATGAAGTGTTTCTAGAGGTTTCTAGATCACACCAAAGCCTTTGCCTATTCAAAAGTCTTGCAGGCGAAAGCAATCTGCGCCGCTACAAGCCACACAAACACTCCCTTTTCACCTTTTACAGATCCCCGACCCCTTCTGTGAAAGGTGCAAAGATTTAGAACCAATCTCAATTTAACACCTGATCTCAAACCTGATTCTAATCAAAACGACTCAATCTCACAGCAAGAGCCCACTCCTCTCACAGCTATGGGCTTGAGGGGGGAAATTCGTTGTTGAACAAATGTCACCAGCTTGTGATCACAAGTTGTCTGTTGACGCAGACCCCACCCTATGTGCCTTCTTACTTGCAAGTCAGAAGGCGCGGGTTTGCGTGAGCGGCGAAGCCCCGGCCCCCAAAGTTTGGTTTTCCTAAACCAACGACTTTAGGGCTGGCCTCGCCCTTCAGAGCCCACCCACCCCCCTATGAGTGGTTGCCTTGACGGACGTGGTGTCGAGATCCCGGGCCCCCCTTTCTCGGTTGCCGGGTTCGGCGCCAAGCCTCCCGGGCTCACCCCAACACGTCCGAACACCGAACACCCTTCTTGACGCTTTTGCGGATTAAGGTTTGCCCTTATGCGCCACCTCTCTCTGTATCGCCGTGTGGCACTCACTCACGTCGATCATCTGTACTCACGAGTCCTCCGAGATCAGTTTTCAGTTCTCATGGTCTCCCATCTCTTGTCTCTCGTTTTCCTACCCCTACTCAATTCATTGCATTGGTCTTCTACGCTTGTCCCCACATACTGTAACCATCAGGTGTCCCTCTCGCTATGCGGTCACGTTCTTCCCGTCTACGATTTCCCTCTCATCTATCGCCTTCAAGAACTTTGTTGTGTCTTTTACTTCCGCCTCGGTATACGACTTCAGATATCTCAGGTAGGTCAAGGATTTCCACCTGCCTTGTTTCGCGATGTTTTTCATCGGCGTACCTAAGTTGTAACGAATTGAAGCTCCCCCCACTCTAAACGAGTGTCCAGACCACGTCCCAATGCCAGCTTCACCCCAGATCTTCTCTAGCAGTTTAATGAATCTTGCCTTCGTTAATGGTTTGGTGCCTGTCGGACTGTCCCAGGCGAAAAGTACGTCGTCCCTATCTCCTTTACTGTTCGCCTCCAACACTCTCTCCAGTGCGGCTACCAGGTCTAACACGTTGAACTGCTCTTGTAGATGGATCGACTGCACTTCTCCTCTTTCTGCCGTTTTGGCTTTCCTCAGCTCCAACACCGCGAACCTAGATCCTTTCTTCTCCCCGAATCTTACATGTCGTCTAAGCAACGCCCCGTCGACTACTTTCTCCCTCAAGAGTTCCCCTAAGCGGGCCATCCCCCAAAAGGCGATTATCGCGACCGCTGCAGCCAGTTCGTATTCTTTTGATCTCCCGTGTGCGAATCGTAAGAGTTTGTACAGCTGTCTGATCATGATGGGCTGTTTGTTGGTGAGTAATGCTGCCTCTTCTTCATTCCGCTTGGTTGCGTTTATCAAGGTTGAGATCACCTCCTGGTCTACGATCGTCCGTGCTGTGTGTCTGACTATATGCCAAGCCCTAATACCATCCAGGTATTTCTTTATCGTGATGGCTGACAATTCCCTATCTGGACCGTTCACTTTGGTAGCTTTAGACGAACCGGCCCAAGCGATGAACTCGTATATGTCCTCGTCGGTTATGGGGATGTCCTCGTCGAAACCGTCTGAGGTTTTATTCTTGAACTCGATAAACATGGCCATCCCGCTCGAGTAGCCTTTCAAGGTTGAACCTGCCCATGCTCCTAGGGCTGCGTGTCTTCCGGCTTGCGACTTTGCCTTATCTCTAGCTGCCTCGAAGTGTTTCGGCAGCGGTGGGACCATTTTGGGTTATTGTGCGTATAGTCTTGAATGGTGTAAGCAGACTCCCCGATTCTTGTGCTCTGATTCACTCTTGTACGATGAATCTCTTCAGGTCGGCAGGTATCTCAACTCGCACTAGGTCTCTCATCCTTTTTGAGGAATCGAAACCCCTGGATAGCCGGTCGGCTGTGTTGTCTTCCGATGATACGTGTTTCTGGTTTATCCTGCAGTTAAGTCGGAACGTTTCGTCTTGAATTTTTATCCATTCCCTGTTTACCCACCTGTTGCGAGATTTCCCATTTCTAACCGCCCCTTCCGTCACGACGTTATCGGTCAGCACCAGAAATTCTGTACCACCTACGTCCATTAGCTGTTCTAACATTAGTAGACCAAGGCATAAGGCAACAGCTTCCGCCCACGCTATCTCCCGCCTGGTTCCGTCCTGCTCTTCTCCATCCCAGCCTCGTCTCAAACGAAACCTGGACCACCTCTTACCAATGACTATCCCGATTCCATATGATGAGGATGCGTCACCAACCCATCCCACATTCTTTATTCCTGGTCTTGGGATTAGTCTGCGGGGTTCTGCTGTCCTCAATACGCGCTCCCAGGTGTCCAGATCTTTGTAGATCTCCTCGGGGATGTCTCGAAGTGCGAGGTGATGGACCCACTCCGCCAACCACCTGTAGATCGCCATGCAGTGGCACTTTAATTGTGGGTATACCAAAGTCAGGTGGGCCAGGCGTCCTACCATCTTCTCAGCTGATTTATACGATGCCCGTTTCTGACCTCTGAACTCTTCAATTTGTTGTAGCCTCTCTACCCTCTTTTCTAATGGCACTTGTACCGTCTTGTTCAGACCGTCCCACAAGAAACCCAGGTACTTCTGTTCGTGAGCAAATTCACGCCACTTCTTTTCATTCGTCACCACCCCTAACTCATTACTCAACTTCACCACGTCTTCCATGCTGTAAGGGTTTGAACCGTCTGCGTGTTTCATGAATAACGTGTCGTCGACCCATCTGAACGCCTGGGGGAAGCCAAATCTGCTTGTTATTATTCGTTTCCACGCGTCTGCTACTTGGCCAAATACCCCGCATCCGGCGACCCCGCCGAACGTTATCCTTGTGTCGAGGTAAACCTTTTCGTCGAATCCCAGTACCATTAAGTACGGCCATTGGCTAAACATTGTCGGGATTTGACGATATGCATGGGCCCAGTTGTATATGCCCAGTAGTACAGGTCCTTTCGTTCCCAGCAAGAAGACTGCCACTTTCTCGAAATCATCCCAGGATGTTTCGAACTCGTCTTTGTTTACTCGCGCGTTGACGGACTGTATCATCGAGTCATGCCTAGGGTAAGATAGATCGTTGATCGGCCGTAAAGACCCGTCCCCATTGGTGACCGCTCCTAAGGGGCTCGTTCTGAAGAATCCAAGTTTCTGGTACGTTTCCTCCTTTGTGAACGGTCCATACATCCTACCTGCCGCCAACTCCTTTTTCATGCTTTCTTCGATTTTCTCCTTTGCCGCCAGAGCCGACGCATGGTTTGGGGGTCAGAAGTATGGCTTCCCTCTTACAGGCTCTTCCGGGATCCCCTGGTGGAAACCGTTGGTGAAACCTTCGAGGATCCTCTGGGATTCACACTTCATGTTCAACTTCGTGAGTTCTTCTCTCCACTTTCCCACGTTCATCTCGCAAGTGACTTTCCTTGGCCAGACTCTTCCTCTGCTTACCATATGCCCTTCTGTTTTCTCTCCTTTGGACTCCTGTCTCTTGATCTCAGACTTCCTTGTAGAGAGGGGAACTAGGCATATCAGGGGTCTGTTCGAGTCATGGCAAGGAGGGGCATGGGGCGAAACACTGCAAGGACTGGGTGGATGGCAAAGAACTCATGGTCAGGGCGCAGTTCTCACTTCTCTCTCACGTCTCTGCATTGGCAAGGTTTTTGGTCGACTCTTTTTGGTTCATTGCATAGGATGTCTGTTCACACTCACTAGCTCCTTTTCTCGAACCGGTTGTACCTTTCGTACTTCTTGGCGTTGTAGCCCTTGTCATGGCTCCTGCTACGCTCTCTGCGACGGTCATCTCTCCTCTCGAAGCTCCTCTCTGGGCTCCGCCCTCGTCGATTGCGTTGATCTCTCGCGGCTTGTCTCTCCGCCGCCTTTTTCGCTTTGTACTCAGCTTTGGGGAGCCAAGGTTCTGATCTCGTGGATGTCGACGTGCTGTGATACGGTGTTGTGGCGTATGAAGTGCTGGCTTGGGGAGGGGTCGCCTTCTTGGTGGGGCCTTCCTTTGGTAAGCCGGTGTCCTGGTTGATGTTCTCCCTCGGACCTCCCGGTGCGTATGGGTTGGTCCGGTAGACTCGCTCGCTAAGGTTTTCGACGGTTAACTTCACTTCGTCCAGTATGACTTGCTGAACCGTTGTGATGTTGTAGATTTTCTTGTCTGCGGTCGGACGCATCACCCCTTTTCGGACTCGTTGGCAGTACCGTAACGCCACCATCCAGCCGACATCTTCTCTTAGACCCATCACCACCAGCTTGTGACCTTCAAACCGTTCCGACTGGGTTTCCCAACCGGCTTTCTTTACGTAGCGAATGAAAAGTGTTATGGCGTCGAGCCACTGTTCGTATTGCAGTGTCAGTTCTTTGGTCGGTGAGTCCCCCCCGTATATGCGAATTCCGTTTCCCTCTAGCATCTTCGACGCTGATGGTGCTTTCTTTGTGCTCCAGCCTTTGGAGTCCTGCCTCAAGAAGTCTCTTTCGAACACCGTCAAGGGGATATAAGCTTTGAAGGTCTGCAAGTATAGCGTCAGGACCGGGGATAGCTCTGGCAGGGACTTCTCCATTTGGGTCGAGTCATCTAGTACAATAAGGCGTCCGTTTTCGACGACATCTCCGTTCGCCAACACCATTCTTCCTTTTCCCAATAGCAACAACGCTTCCACCATCTCCGCCTCCGATTTCTCTGTCTCTCTCCGGGCATTTCCTGTCGCAGCACTCGGATCCTCTGGATTATCAGGTTTGGTTCGTTTAGGGAGTCGCCCTTCCGGGCTGTCGTGTGAGTCTGCTGATGCCTCGGTTATATCGTCTTGGATTAAGCGGTATGGGGCTGCTTGTGGTCTGTCTGACGTTTGAGGTTGTCTCGCAGGGGCTTCTTGTTGTGTGCGTCGCGCTGGTTGGTTTGGTGGGTCTGGACTATCCCGTTGCGAGTTCACACTTCCTTGTCTCGAGATTGTCCGCTCTCGGGTCATGAACGAGTCCACAAATTGAGCAAGCAGGGCTGCCGCTTCCGTTCGGTCTCCTCGAGCGTAAAGCTCGTCTATTCTGCCCTGAATGTCCACTATTCGGTCGCCATCAACCACTGCGAGTTGGAATTACAAACGGATCTACGTCAGCGACTGTAACCACATCGTCTGCTCCTGCGCTGATTGGACGGGGACTCGTTGTCTAAATGCCTTCCGGCCGCCCTATTCTCTGGCTGGGAGTAAGCCTTGCCCTCCAGGGGCTGTCTGGCCCCAAGGCTCCTATCAACATAGGACAGCAGGATATCGCCTGGCGTAGAATGCCCTAATTTAGCTTGCTAGGTGAGCTCTTCCTTCCGAGTTTGTAGATCTGAGGACCTGTCTCTCTTCCTCGCTTACGCATAGGGTTTCCCTTGGTTGGTTTCGTAGAGTATGGATGGGGGGGGAATGATATAGGAAGAGAGAGGAATATGGGGATAGCGGAGCGGCAAGACAAAGAATCTGACGGGAGGGCAGGAGAGATGTGATGGGGAAAGAACGAGGAGTATGGAAGGGTTTTTACCTGAGCTCCCATTTCTCGTTGCTGATTGGCTCGCCACCGTTGACTCCTCGCCACTATGGCGGTCATCTTCCTCCGGTGGGGGCACCCATGACCCGTCGTCTGCTTCGTCGTCTGATAGGACTACTGCGTCTTCTCGAATTGCTTCTCCACTGCCACCAGCTCTGCCTCCTACCCCTTCATTCTCTATCTCCTCTCGTTCTTCTTCTCTGTTTCCTTCACCTTCGACCTCCTCATCTACTCGCCTTGTCGTCCTCTTACGTTTCTGGTTGTCCAGGCCTGGTGCTGGTTGTGCACCTGTTGCGACTGATCCTGCCCGGGTGATCCGAGCGTCTGTTGCTGCTAGTCTGTTGTCCATCCTGTTCTAAATGATTTTCCTAAAAATTTATTCAAGTTGAAATTCAATGAGGAATTGTTGAGCACTGAGAAATAATCGTGAGATAGTTGATTTGGAGCATCTGTCGGTGGTGAGTATTGGAATACAGGTGGAGGATTTTCTCCTCAGGAAAATCCTTCCGTGCTGTTTCCAATACCGCCGGTACCCTCCTTTCTCGGTACCGGCCCCTACCTCCGCTGCTACCGGTGGGCTTAAGAACCAACGTTCCTTATGGTTCTTTCAATCTTATATCACATCTTCTTTATTTGTTTTCAATGTTCATGCCCAATGCTCTTGTGAAAAATGATGAACAAAAGTCAATTTCTAATCTGAACCAATCACAATTATCAGTTCCGTTCTAAGTATTCAACTGTGAGATTTCAGATGATCCCTATCATGAACAAATCACTTGCTACAGACTGAGAAGCAAGGCAGGTTGGAATGTGCTGAGCAATCGGCGGGGGCTGGAGGAGAAACATCAGACCCAAAGACTCACATTGGGTAACTCGAAGGCAGTCTGACCTGTGAAACCTTCACACAGTTGTTTTTGGCAATCTTTGACTCTTTTTGACTTGCTTCCCAAAGGCGCAAAACTGGTTGGTCGGTTTTTCGCCCAACCCCTATTTACACTTTTCATCAGCAAGATTCTCTGTTACCAATGACATCTACTTAAAACTGTGTATCTCTATATGAATATCCTCTAAATTGGTCTCCAGTCAGCTCTTCTCACGTATTCCATCACAGATTTCAGGCAATAGGGACTGGGCAAAGCTCTGCAAAATTGCAATTCAACCGTAGTTGAAAGCAAGTTGCAAACAGCTAAGCCACTGTTCAATCAATATGAAATTTCCCTATTTTTTTAGTAAGCTTTATGGCACTAAAAAAAATAGGGTGGCGCACAGGCATGACCCTCCCTAAGACGAGCTGTCTATTCAAAATTCCCCCCCCCCACCTCAGCCAAAAGCCTATGGCAGAACACTTCTGGATAGCCCGATATACCTTTCACAGGTTGCTCTCGCTCTGGTTTTGGTGAAATCATCTGACAGTTGGGGCTCTTGGGCTTGCAGGAGTAATCCTGACACCTCCTGTTTGCATAAATCAGTTCGGTCGACTTCCAGGGGATTCGTGCGCTTATTGAGGTGGCTAACGTGTCATTTTAAGAGGGAGTTACAAATAACGCTGCTACAGGTATACATATCACGGAAGAAAAGAAAGAGAAGCACAAGAAACAAAGTCCAACCGATATCTGATTTCAATGTTGGTCTGAAATGTGGAAAATTCATGAACGTTTATACAAATTGGAGAGAACATATTCAACTGAGGGCAATAGCAGAATGCTATTGATTGATTGTATAACATAAACCCATACACATGTAGTTCAGGAGACCAGCATCATTGCAGAGAGAAGCACATAATAGAAAGACACTCGCTTTAAAGATGTATCACATTGGTAAATTTGGACTCACCATCAGTCTGATCAAAGAGCCAATAACAAAGTTGAGACTCATTGTATGTATCAAGAATTTCTCAAGATCTGGATACACCGTTCGACAAGAATCCTGGAATCCCATATGAATTATCAAGAGGTAAAGGATCTTTTCCATTATGCGGCTTTAGCATATCAAGCTGTTTGGCTGCAAAATTCTGTATATTAGGAAATCTTGATGGGGTCAGTTTCACCAACTTCAATTTATCCTCCACTAGATCTCTGTTAAGATTATCCAGCCAAGCTAAAGATGGATTTTTGCTGTCGTATTGTTCAACAAATTGTTTCATGACTTGCAAAGTTCTTTGCTCCCATTTCTCAGCTGTTGATAGCTGCTTCCATTCTTCAGTTTTCAAGGGTCCTCCTGCGTCCCAGGCTTCTCCAAGCTCAGAATAACGTTTCTGGTCGTTCATCAAACCACGGAACGTCGAATCCCAGTTTAACCTCTGCCCGTATGTGCTCTTGTAAGAATCAGGTAATGCTTCCATTACTATTCCCTTTGCTGATTCCGTATATCTATTATTCAGCTTTGTCCATGCGTTGAGCGCGTAATTTCGGACGTCATATGGTAGTGCTCTTTCCAAGGATATCAGTTCGAGTTTATCAAGCCTGGTTGGAGCCAATAGACCTTCCCATGGACGAGGTTTTTCTAAGACTTCAATCCAGCCCATTATTTCAGAATGTTTACGCAATCTCACTAAAGATTCTTGAGGTTCTTTTTCAATAAATTTGATGTCTGAATCGATTCTTTTGTAAATTCTTTGCAAGACCTCATTTTTGTTGATGATTGAACTCGTCGGATCACTCAAGATGTCATCTCCAGCCTTGATCTCTTGATAGAATTCTGGACGGCCCCTTACATCAAACTTCATCATGTTGAAATGATTCGAAGTTTCTATCTCAAAAGTGGACAAGTTAGAGCATTATCTTAAATGATAATATCTTGAATGATAAAGGGAGATTTGATGTCACCTGAGGCTGTCCGCATCTTGGATTTCAACATATCGGCTTCACTCTTTAAAATCTTGCTTGCATCATCTATGAGTCATATAAAGATCCAAGATGAGTTCATCCTTTTCGGGTCAATATGGTCAGGATTATCTCACCTTTTCCAAAGCCCGCCATCTGAGGGTTTTCGCGTACATTCACTCCATCATGGCTTGATACTTGTGATCTCATCCAACTTGGATACTCAGGATTTTGGCTGAGACCTTCCAGGGAATTTGGGACATTGATATACGTCCCAGGTGTTACTAGAGTTTCTTCAAGAGTATTTATTGACGGGGTGGCTGATTCTTCCAAGAAAGCAATTAAGGCTCGAGATGCACTCTGAACTTCATCTATATTCACAGAGCCCGTCCTTTGCGCAATCACTGCGATTTTCGAAAGGGTTTCCAATGCTGGCTCTGCAGCCTTTGCAGCGTTTTGACTGCGCAGCAAAAGCGTGGATGGAGTTGCATCATCTAACGCTCTTTGAATTTCCTTGAAATTTGGAAGATTGTTCAGCTTTCCTTTCAAGGTCTTGTAGCGGTTCAAATCGAGCGCTTGTAATTGGCTTTGACGGTTTTGGGCATCTTCCAGGTGTGATTGAACCACAAGAAAGCAAGCAGAAATAAATTTTCAAGTATTCAGTTAGAAAGGTGTATTGTATCAAGACTTTGAGCTCACATACCTATCATTGGGTTTGTCTGACGATGCAAAACTTTCAGAGTAAAAATCTGATATCAGTTCCAAATTCTCGATGCACAAATTGAAAAATCGTTGTTTTGGAAGATGGATGATGACTTCGGAAAGATGGCATGAACGTACTTGGCTGAAATTCACTTTGGAATCAAAGGGGAGAAAGATAAACCATTTAGTCTCCCAATACGAAGTCTTTGAGACTATAAATTTACTCACAAGGAATCTATCTTATCTCCTTTCAAAGGTGAAATGGGTTCTTTTCCATTACCAGTAGCTAACCAAAGAAAAGGACGAGTAAGCGACATATTTGAAGCTTTGAACTGAGAAATCATACCTGTGTTCTGGGAGCTTGAACCAACAGGGTCTATGTAAAAGGGATTTGAAATATGTCCATGATCAGTTTGTACGATCGGAGTGACAGGTCTGTCTTGGATAAAAGTCTTTTGAACCTTTGTTGATACCAGAGTCCTTTAGGTTCCCTGTTCAATGGGTCAGTGGTATTTTCGTATCAGAATATTGAACGGAGAGCAAATGAAGATTCAAAGCTAGTCGCTTCTCATGTTTGTGGAATACAAACTCACCTGAAATAGTCATGCCATCGAGTAAGCACACAGATCATATGTCCATATATCTGGTGCTATATTTAGGGTAAAAAGAACTTACCACTTGGAATCTCATTTTGTAATCCTTGAAGTGAATATCCAAAGAGTAAGTTGACAAAATTAATCCCTCGAAGAAGAAGAATGCATCTCAATTAAATTTGACTCGAAGCAATGCCCACTCACGCCTTATTTCAGCCCTGTGTTGTGAAGATGGAGGGATTTCAATTTTATTTATTCTTGAACATATGAACCAATTCCATACCTTTGTGCAGTGTTCAAGTCCGGCTTAAGATCCTTGAGGGGAAGTAGTCTCTTGACATCTTGATCGCCTATTGAGATAAACAGTATGGTCGGCTAAATCCCGGTAAAGTGAGTTAAGGAAGCACTTACCTGGGACCTTTACTGGAGGCATACGATGTCCCCAAGAGGCAGAAGTTCATGTGATAGACATTTTTTGTCAGAGAACGTGCCGTCAAAAAGGAGAGAAGCCATTCAAATCTCAAATCTCACCAGGTCGAGGAAGTTGATGCAACCCTCCTGAAAGTTTGCGATCATCAAAGTATACAAATTCACATTGAGAGGTTCAATTTGATAATTCGAAAGGCTCAAGTTAGTTTCTTGAGATTCATAGTTGACAAAATTCTGCCGCTTACCTTGGGTCGATCCCTCTGGATTATCTTGTCGAAACAAGATCATTGAGATTCACTGATACTGCAAGACTGATAATTCAAATTGCCTACTCACTTGGTTTTGGACCCCATGATGGAACTATATCATGCAACCGTACATTTTTTCATCATCAACATCAGTTTAATTCTTAAGTAAAGTATCCAATGTGATCTTCATATATACCTTTTTGCCTCCCGGTCCCAATATTTCCGCCTTTTGAAAAAAATATCATGTGAGACTTCTGACTGACAGGTTTTGTAATACAAGGGAAGGATGGAGCATCATAGAGTGTCTTTCACTCACCTGGGTTTGGAAGCGTGTATGATTGCGGTGCAGATCTACCAGGTGTAGGAAGTGTATATGCTTCTCGCGTGGATCTCGCTGGTGGAGGGAGTGTATATGTGGGCGGCACGGATTCATCTGGTGTGGGAGGTTTATATGCTTCCTGCGTGGATTCACGCGGTCTAGGAAGTTTATATGCTTCCCGGGCGGATTCACCTGCATCATCCGTGCTAACATGCAAACGCGCGTGCTCAACTATAACTATAATATGATGTCTGAAAGCCTTGGTTATAAGAACTTACAAGGGGCGGCTATCATATGGAAAAAACATTGAGACATGAGCATTGTACAGTGTATTGCGAGAAATCTCCAAGTTTGAGAACGTACGCCTCACTATCTTGACTCAAACCAGATTTCAAGTTCGTCCCTGAAGCTGGATGAAAGAAATCGGTTGATTGAAAATCAGTGTGGTGATGTACAAAGTTGATGAGATCAGACAACAAATCCGGCTTACTTAGGTCGCTAGGCTCGATGACGGGATCGACGACGTAAGCATCCGAGTACCTCATATCCGAGCTGATCACTAACGCATACGGTACCGCTAATTAGTCAGGAGAAACTTGGCGTGCAACTGGAATGATCACTTACCTGGACTTTTTGAAAGCTGCCGGCTTAAGGAACAATAACGAGAGGTTGAGAAAAGTTCTATTTTTCAACCCATTGAGTTGAGAGAAGGAGACATACCCTTGCTGCAAGTCAGATGGGCCAGAACTTGAAGCGCCTTTGGTTTGTTTCCCTAAACGGCCTGCTTTAAAGAAATCGCTACCTGAGTTCCATATGTTCATGCCCATTGAGGATTTGAACATGAAAGATATGATGATAAATATATATGATAACTTGGTTAAGGAATGCATGCCTGCAAAAATTGTCCATGTATTCTGGATAATCTTAACCAATAAATAATAATAGTTATCGACCGATTGTAGTTTGGTACGTATAAATCAAATGTTCAAGGTGATTGTAGATGATTACGTACTATCTTGCAAAGCAAAAATATTAAAAACATTGACGTCAAATTCTTTAGTTTGCTGAAATATTTTATAGATCAAGAGCTTGCGTCGTTTCCACATGCCGCAACGGCGGATCAGGGGGAATGTCACATCAGGTCCACATCGTATCAATGACGCCAAGCATCACCCGACTTAAAGACGATTTCCCCATCTTTGAAATCTGATCAATCCATATCCGAACTCACTTTTGTTTTTGTAAGCTTACACCTTCATGGTGAGCTTTTAACTAGTACGAATCCTTCCGCTTTGCGAAAATCACCAATTCGTGTCTTGAAGTTATACGCGGAGCGTCTTGGTTTCAATAATAATTTTAAAGCTTTCGCTCGACGTCGGTGAAGCCCTCTACGAGCTATAATCACGACCACCGCCTCATGAGGGGCGAGGCTCAAAATATAACCTATCGGACTCTTGAGGTCAAGGCTTTTCTATCGCTGAAACGGTTTGGCGAGCTGCTCGTCTTCTATGTATTATCCGCAAATCGACCGGCAGAGCTAAGGCCGGAACTGGCCTAACAAGTTGACTAAGTCCCTCCTCAAAGCGCAGGCATCCTCTTCACGTCTCTGCGGTCGGTGGGGCTTGTGTTAAGCTAGGAACTGGCCAAAACCGATAGGGTGGAGAGTCGAGGCTGTGATCCACAACTGCACAACAGTCTTGAATCTTGATTCTACGCACCAAGTGGCAAGCTTGTATGTAAAGGAAATCAACACGGCCTTCGTTATTATTAGAATTTTCTAGAATTGATCACTGGTTTTGCTAGCAACAAGTTTGTCATACATAGTTCTGACTCAAAAGACATTACTCTATACTCTGATGATTGATCAAGAGTATTGTAGCAGTATGAAAGTCAAAGAAAAAAATCAAAACACCCTCAACCTCTCTCTCTCCCAAACAGACATTGACCATCCCACAAACTTACAATCCCTTTGATAAAAAACCACATATTGAAACCTTAGGTTTCTAGTAAAAGAAAACAGGTTCCAATTACTAATCTTAACTTTCAACTCAGCTAAAATCTCTACAACTTTTAGCCCCATTAGCATTATGTAATCTCATCTTACTTTACTTCATCAATAATCTTACCATGATTCTTAGATACCGTTATAAATAAGACAATGAACAAACACTCTTTCCAATCTATACAATAATACCAAATCCAATACTTCATTTCAATTCCTCTAAAGTTAAATACAATAACGAGAAAAAAACACCATCTTTCAAAAAAAGATAAGTTGGTTCCTTCAGATTATGATCAACTCTTTACACACTTTTTCAAAAATCTTATATTGTCAAACAAAATTCGATTTCTTCTATATATATAAATTTAAATGCTACTACACATACTATGATCATCAGGTTTCACAACCAAACCTTTCAATCAAAAAAAAATCTTCGCTTGGCTTACCTCATCCTCTCTTCTCAATTAAAGCCAAATGACCTTAATTTAATAATATCTTAAATCCTCTCAAATACATAAATATAAGCAAACCTAAGACAAAAAAAAACCAAAAAAACCAAAACACCAAAAAAAACCAAAACGCCAAAAAAAACAAATCAGTTGGAAATTTAACTCAACCCAGAACCCAAATTCAAATTCAAAGAAGAAGACACTTACGGAGATAAAGCTTTAGCACTCAATTTTCCTTCATTAGCTTCCATGACTTTCTCATCATTAAAAAACACCCAATCTTCCTTCACATTCACCCCATTCTCATTCGATTTCTCGTTCGATTTCTTAAACCTTAAATGTGCCACATAATGTCCACTATGTACAGATGGACCTTTATGAGAAACAAACCCTTGAAGTCGATACTGAGCCGGTAAGTTTCGATCTCCAAGAACAGATGGTGGTCGATCCTCTTTCAATACATCATCAGGTCCGAAGAGCCGTTCTTCTCCTTCATCTTCTGGATGATTAAATAACCAGTCAACTGCAATGTCCATTTTTCCTTTCTAAACAGAAGGAAAGAAAGAAGAAAAATCAATAATCGGTGGTGAATTCATTTTATTCTATTTTGAAGAAGCAAGATATCAATCTTGCAGATTTTTTTGAAAAAAAAACTTCACAAACCGACACTCGTAAAGCTTTCCTAGCTTGATTCTCGGTAAACCCCATTTCTTGTAACCCCGATATATTTCCTTCTGGATGAACCTTAGGTGCAGCAAGAGCCAAATCTTCATCTAATCAATCCAAACCAACCCCCCCAACAAAAACAAAAGACCAAAGAAAAATCAGAAACTCATCAACCCAATCAAAGCGTGTTTTTTGAGGTGTTTTGATACTTTTCAACCAACCTTTTTCATGTAAATCATCATCCATACGTTCAAACAACCAATCAGTTGCAACTTGTAAATTACGATTACCAGTTGCATGTATAGCTTTCAAACATCTCCATTTCGGGAATCCCATACTCATCAAAACACTCAATGTTTCTTCATTCACCTCAGGTACAGCTTTGTGATATCACACAAAAACCCACCAAAAGAAAAGCATCAGCAAATCTCAAATGAAATTGCTCTTATACATCTCAATTTAAACTTCAAATCACATACCAGGTGATGAAGCCTCTTCAAGGTCTGGTAACAATTCCTCCCCTACTTCTTGACCTTGACCAAGATAAGGTTCTAAATCGATCTTGTCTCCTTCGATCATCAAAGGTACCTCTGTTCGTTGATTCATTCAAATTTCCCATCAACATCATTCATCAAATTTATATGATTTGTACATCTTCAAGACGGGAGAAGATACCTACCTAATTTTTTTGGAACCCAATTCACCACCTCGAACCGACGAGCATGCACAATCAAGTATTTAGGAAACGATCCAATCCGAGATGACCTATATAAAACAGTCAAATCAACAACCATCACAATCAATTTATAGTCTTGCGTCATCAAAGAAGCAAAGTAAACCAAAAAAAGGACAAACGTCAAAGCAGTAGTTTTAATCCGACACTTTGGACAAGTATACTCCACTGAATTACAAGCCATAAAGCTTTCCAAACACTGTTCCAAAGTGACCGGTTGATAAGCCTTCTTTCCCACTTCAGTCTCACCACTGTTCTCTTTTTCTTCTTCTCCATGACTCATCATCGGAATCGCAGGTACCGGAAGACTTAAAGTCATATGATCTTCTAATTTATATTTCACTCCTTTACAATTCTCACATTGAAGTTTTTGTTCTAATTGAAATCTAAAAGGTTCAGTAGGATCGGTCAATTTAACATCTGGATTTTGATCAGTTTCAATCTTTTTGATGTGTCCTTGAATCGTTTCAAACAAATATCCAAGAAATTCTTCGGCATCTTGTTGTTTCATAGTCGAAAATTCATGATGTCCACGTCCAACTAAAGCTTTGAACATCATTGGACTAATCCCTTTTTGGAAAGCAGCAGCCGGTGTAGGCGGATGAGATGGTTCAATTTCAGCTTTCACATCTACTAGTGGTGGTGTGATAGGATCATTGTTAGGTATAGCATATCGACCCGAAAGTAAACCGTGTGCGATTTTGTTCATTTGACAGTCTAAACACTCTGAAGGGAATGGTGCAGTGCAGGTAGATGCATGTGATACGAAATTGTTATAGTATTGAGACTGGAATGGACTAAGTGAAAATAGCATTTGTAAAACAGAAGCTATGTAACAACTATGAGAGACAGGATCAGAACACGGTATCAAAGATCATCAGAGATCAGATAGTAAGCTAAACAAACCTATTTCCCAAATTCTTTAAACCAGTAAGACCAGGTCCATGTACAGGTACAAGATGTTGACCATCCTCACCAGTCATCGAGAAATCAAACTTGAGATTATGTTCAACTTGCTATAAACCATCGAAAAATCAATTTTTTTTTGAAAATAACGAATGCATTGAAAAGAGAAAACCAATTTACCAATTCAGTCATACTCTTTTCAGTTTTTTCTTGTTTTTCAAGCTCGATTCCAAAATGAGCCAAATGTGTTTGTAAATCACTATCAATTCTAGCATCATCACAATTATAACAATACAGATCTATCGGAAGATCCCCAAAAGAACAAACCAAAACCAAAATAACAGAGATCAGCCCCGAAAAATCTACTAAGAAGGGAGTGATAACAAAAAACGAAAGAAGTTTACCTGCAGATCCTTCAGCAGTGATCGTACCGAGTTTAACATTCACACAATGACCTGTATCATTATAATGTTTCAATGCATGACTATTCCCACCGGTTCCACCGAACTGAGAACGACCACAACCCAAACTTCCACATTCTAAACAAAACCACAGGTTTGAAGATAATTCACAAGCGTGACAAGTAGAAGAAACTAAAAATATTCAAATCATAAAAAAGCAAACAAAAATTAACATGAGTCCTTTCAATACAAGTTCGATCTGATTTGATTTGATTGAGTGATGGTAACTTTACCTTGTGGGATTGGATTCGTTGGATTGTCTTGTTGTTTCAGTCCGGTAACATGAGCACATTTTTCGATTTGTTCTTCCCATGCAGCCACTTCATTTAATCTAGCAGAAGGAGTCGAATTAAGAATAGCAGTACTGATAGCATCAAGCTATTTGACAAACCAAAAAGAAACCGAAAACTGATTAACCGTCTTTTATAGGAAACAAAGAACAGATCGGTAGAAAGAAAAAAATAGATCACAAACTTGTTCTGTCACACTTGGAGGCGTCGAGATCGGATGACCATCACAACCCATAGCATAACATTTGAGAAAACTAACAAACTCGTATTGATCGATTGGATTTTCTTCACGAATCGCTAGTTTCTTTAGAGGTGGTTCTGATTCATTGGTTCTTTGAGATTTAGGTTTTGAGATCCGTTTAATGTTTAAGGCTAATGAATGGTTTTGATTGATCGCATGATGCTTTGCGCTGTAAAAAAACCATCAATCAACGCAACCAAATCAGTTTTCTAAACCCATCAAAGTAGACTAAGGAAACACTGATGAGAGATGTTTTAGATGGTTTGTTCGACTTACTGATGATGATCAGGACTCGCACAACCACCATTAAAACATTGTAAACAAACATCAATTCCAGATGGACTATCTTGTGAATCTGATCAATAACCAAAAAAAAGTGCACAACTTTATCAGATCAAGAAGATAAACGTATCAATTGATCAAACACGAAAACTTACCAAAACATTGAGTACATTCTTCTCGATAGACCATCGAACGATTTGTAGGTGATGAAATCCAATCTATCAGTTGTACTGCATGCTCACATTCAACGCGGTCTGGCTGGGTTGATTGATTCATCTTTTCTATGATTAGTATGATTTTGATTTATCGAGAAGCTTGATCGTCGAGTCTTGGGTTTAACTTTTGGTGATCAGAGAAGGTTGTCTGTCCTATGACGACACAAGGGCAAGAGGCACGGTGAAGTTTTGGGTTCTTCCTAGGTTGACTTAAGATTCGCGAATGACGAGGTACAATGACTTAAATACACCACGGCAGGGTTTAGACCGTCCAAGGGCGGCCATCTTGTGCGTAGCGATGGGCGGCGCGAGGACAGCCCTCTCGGCCGACCGTCCTAGGGTCGAAAAGAGGCGGGAGAGATCCTCGGACCTCTGGCCGCCATGATGCTGCGCCAATGCGGCCTTCATGCCGGTCAGCGTGGTCCACCTCCGCATCGCGCGGGCCAGCTTGGTGCCTCGGGCTTATCCGACCGTGGCCGCGACCTACGGGGCCGGGCTCTTTTTGCAACGAGCTTTTGGAGATCATGCCCGGTAATTGGTTTTGCCATCGGGTTTCTTGGCGGGGCAGTGTTCCTACCAGCTTGATCACCTCTCATTTGGTGTTCTGAACAACATCATCGCTAGGATAGGGGGCTGGGAAGGGGGATCCAATGCCTGCTCAGCAATGTGGATTCCAACGAGTTCAAAAAAAAAAGAAAAGTATATATTCATTTATAAAATCCAAAAAAAAAGTGAACATCTCAAAATCTAAAGACAGTGAAATCCTATGCTCTGACTAGATGGCCGCTCCTCAAAGGTAGACTAGTTTTGTTTCAATTTAACTTGTTTGGTTAGTGTTTCATGCAATACAGTCATTATGCACTTTTTTTTAAAAAAAAAAGAACAACATCATCATGTTATGTGAATTGCAAAAATTTGAAAAATTTGTAATAATTTCTGTAACGTTGAATGAGGGAAACAAGAGAGACAATGGAAAAAAGTCTCCCACAGTTTTGCGGTGTGGATGCTGATGGCCCAAAAGGTGGACTACTGCTATTGTGCAAATCATAAGATTGTGGTTGGTCATTTCGACTTTTTTCCACAAAGTTTGATTTACTTGCAAAATGCCCACAATCGCCAACCCCTCCACCACTGCCACAATTATATTGGAAATGAATCAGTGTGTTTCTTGACTTTTTGTCATTGATGAATATCTGGAGGGTGCCGGATATTAAAAAGTGATTGAACCTTGTTGACCGCCGTGCTGCAACAGAACCTGGTATCGCTCCTGATCACTGAATTCCTGATTGAGAGACCTGTTGTGGATGTCATCAACAATAATGTGCCCAATTGAGAAAGACCTGAGACCACCCCACACAGAAGGTTCATTAAGTTTCTGGTTACCAAGTGTGGGTGTGATGGATGCTGACCATGGTGTATTTTTGGAATGAAAGCAGACAAGTGGCTCCCATGGGTAACACTGGTAACCCTATCAAAATCACCAGCAAAGAGTCTTCCATTATTGTTCAATCTAGTCAATTGTATCATTCTGCTATAGATACATATCTATTTGTTTGGATTCCAAACAAAGTTTAATAAAATGTACATCATATTGAAAGATGATTGCTTCCTCAGATTACTCAATTCATACCAGACAAGCTCGAGGTAGGCAGTTGACAAACTCCTCAGTTAGTTGTGCAATCCAAAATTCATCCATGGTGGAATATCTTTGATTTGTTGGGTTACGCACAAGAATGATTAAACAGGTTCTTCATATTTTAAATGCTCAACACATTGATGATTTCCATTACTTCATGTTCCTTGATCACATCAGTGCGCAACATATCTGCGATTGGGATATGCATGCAACTCCCAATTCATGCAAAACCTTTTTTTCAACTTGTAAAAAACCGCAATTGATCCACTTGTCTTGCATTGATCCATATCATATGCTTTGATTGTCTTGTTTCAAAATGTTATGTTGTTAACTTTGGAAAACTTTATATTCAATGAAAGTTTTCTTATGTATTGCAAGTGATCTGTATCTCCCAAGATTGGCAGATCGGGATAAGGTTTTCCTCCATGCATATCATATAATTGAAGTTGATAATGAGAAGGCAAATTTCTGAAGTGAAGGTTGTGTGTTTGTTGAGGTTGAAGGATACAGATAGGGGAAGAAGGTGTTATACAGGGGATTTGGGATGAACACTGGTTGTGCTGGGTGTTCAGTTGGAAGACCTGGCATGACAAATTTTCCGGCCAAGTGCAAATGTAAGAAGGAATTTGGATATCCAAGCCCAGGAGGCGGTTACCAATAGTTTGGATGAATGAAAGGTTGTGTTGTGTTGTTACTTTGGATTGAGCCAATTGAGTTTGAGGCCATTCCAGCGCAGGACATATTGTTCCGGTTTTGCTTAGACATGGCGCTAAAGATGAGAGATAACATTAAACAGGGATTGTTGGAATGATGGAAATGGAAAGTAAAAGTAAAAGCTTGGGATGGCTGTAATGTGGATTGGAACAAGCAATCAGTAGAGGAAGGCTCGACTCTGATGGTTCTTGCTCAACAGGAAGGCACAGAAGCAGGGAGGGAAGGAAACATACAATCATGAGACACATAATCTTGTGTTGATGTGCCTCAAAAGGTGGTTGGTTTCCCTGCAGACAGGGCAGAGGCTGGGTGGTTGTGGTTAGTTTGGTTTGCTGTGGGTGGTTAGTTCAATGGATGTAATAATATGGTGAAGTGGCTAAGTTTGTTATTGTGATGCCACCCCCTGTGAAGTTGAGGAATGGGGATGACTAGCCTGGTATTCTCATTGGGGGCTATATTTCCCGTACCGTATCTGTCCGGTGTACTGCCAGGGGTGTGTGTTGTAGCATAGATTGGGTAGCTACAGGTATCAACCTCAAATAAGCGGGCATTTGGTTATTCAACCCGGGCGGGAAATAGTGGTGTCCTTAAAAGAAAAAAAAATGTTTCAGTTTATGTCCCATTTTATTCAACATAGTTTATTTTGCTTTAGTTCTTTGGTTTTGTTTATGGTTTATTTTATATAGTTCTTTATTCTAGGTTTTAATGGTTCATATTCATCAAATTGTTATTTATGTTTCTTTGGGTGGTTTACATTTTTTAGTTGTTTGTGTTAGCTACATTTTTTTGTTGTATGGACCGCTAGCCATCCTGTAGGGTGTTGATTGGTTTTGAACATGACAGTATCATTATCCCTTAGGGGAAATTGGTTTTACGTGTCTTGAGTTGTGTTCTATTGTGATTTTTGTAAGTTCTATGCATGACATTTCTATCTGTTAATAACAAGTGACCAAATTCAATGAAGCTGTTCCTGATATTGCAAAAGATATTCATCACCAGAGAGCAGGGAATCATAGATTTTTAAAGAACAACACTTTCATTTATCAGAACACCCATGTTTGGCACAAATTGGCGAGATCATGAATCCGTCTTTGAGAGAAAAATCACAAACAGAAAAAGAGTGAAGTGGATTCCAATTTGGCCCTAGCACACTACATAGCTTGAGGTACAAAAACACAGAACAATCATTGACATGATAAAAATTGGTGTGGTGTTTAAAACCTCAATGATGACCCGCTATTGAAATCCAAAGAAAGAGATCACTTTCTTCTGACCCGCTATGTACCAAGCTAGATCCAATGCACTCAGTTCCTTCAGAAGTTTCAAGTTTCTCATCAGAACCCGGTGCATATACTGTGACTTGGTGATTTTCTGAATTGGACAATAAGCCTCCTCCATTGTCTTCAGGGGTCCAGCTAAGACCATGATAGGTTTCACCAGGAAGGAGTTTGAAACAATCATCATCATCCTTACCAGCAATTACAGCTGTGCACATCAACATGAAGCCAATGGCCAAGAATTTGGGTGATAGTACCAATTTCATGATGTAGATGAACACGACTAGATGAACAATTAATGGTCCATTGGAGTTAGCTCTTGTATATTGTGAATCATCATGAAGAAACTAAGACCAGAACAATTGAGAGGGCATTCAAAAAGATAAAAGGGGAAGTGTTTCTCAACTTGTTGTTAATTTATCCTGATTCTAATATTTGTCCAATGTCACTATATCAGCAGATGAACAATTCCGAGGTGTTGTACAAAGGAAAGGGGGCTCACCTGAAGTCCAAGAACTGTGTGGTTCCAAGAAAATATATTCCACAAGATCTGAAAAAGCAGACGCATATGAATGGGTCAGGATCAAAATAACTGGTGAGATGAAGAGAAAAATCGGGATCATATTGAAAAAACAGTTCACATTATCAATCGCTATCCGGAGGATATCAACCAAGTCTGTCTAATCGAAGAGGACAAGGGGAGAACACTTCTTGAATTTGGATAGTTCTTATAGATTTTTGCTAGTCCCTATTTTTCTATCTTCAAGGGAAGTCCGAACAGGATCTCAGCTGAAACGAGCAGTTGACAATTGATATGATCTTTGAGATAGTGTTCCAAACCTAAGAACTGAGTCGAGTTCTCAATCTAAACCGATCGATGAGTTCTGCGTTTAGAATGCTCAGCTAGAGAACCAGTCTTAGAACTTTTCACCCTAAAGAAAGTTATCTACAACAAAACCAGATCTATGCCGTAAGCGATTCTTTGTTTTCCAAAACTCGGATGGATATGGAATTCCGGATCAAAGAAATGGATGGGAAACGATTCGGGTAAATTGAATGATCAGATTCAACTGAGGGTTTAGTCGTTGAAGAGCTCAAGGAAGTTTGAATCAAACAAATCAGCGTTTCTTCCGATTCCTCGAAACCTCATCCGAAGCTTGCCTCGACCCATGCACCACCCGTTTTATGTGAAAAAAAATCATCATTCGATGCTCCTCTTCAGAGTTATAAAATCACTAGAGCATACGCGGGCAAGCCGGCCGCTGAGGCTCATGTGCGGCGTCCAGCACACATTTTAAGTTTGCCGCTATACTCAATGTCGAGCTTCAACCTCATTTCAAACTTTAAACTCTCCGAGGCATGGAGCCTGAAACAATATTTTATTGCATCAGCTAAACTTAACGCTCATTGTTATTGTAACTGCTCAAATTCTCGCCAGGATGCTATCATATTCGGAACGTTCACAAAGCCTCCCGGAAAAAAAATAAGGCAGATTTCGGAATGCTGATCTCCACTTCAGGGGAGTAATTTATGTACATAAGTAGTCAGTGTTACAGTCGTTTGCCAAAAGCTTGCCGCAAATTCACCGCCAAATTGCTCGAGTTTTGCGGGCAAATTTGGGCGAGCTTTTTTTTAAAGTGCCTTTAAGCAAATTTGCATACAACACTCCAAAATTTAAAATGAGATGACTAATATACCTTAGAGGAGCGGCCATATAGTCAAAGCAAGGTGTTTTGTTGATAGTAGGATGCATTTATAATCTTTTTTTTCCACTTGTATTTGTGAAGATTGCATACCTTTCCTATTTGGATATGTATTTAGGGGGCGTTCACTTAAGCGCATTTTCGGGAAAATTCACATTCTTGGATATCAAGAATTCGCATTCTGCGAAATGCGTTCGATATGTTATTTACAAGCATTCTGTAATGCGCAGAATGCTTGTAAAATGCGACTTTTCAGTCGATTTCCCACAATTCACTTTTATTGAATCTTTCCTCCTATAAATCACATTATCAACTCTTTCGTAAACCTCTATCAAAATCTACAAGGTACCTTCCACCGTACAGAACCTTTCAAATACCATCATTCACCACCTTCTTCGAAAACCATCACCGGTCTTATCATTCACCACCGTCTTCGAAAACCATCACCGGTCTTACTTCAAATCCAACCTCTTCCTTCATCTTCTGTTGGCTACACTCTTGATTCAATATGCCTCAATCCGATTCTGATCCTGAAGAAATTGAAATTGAACCAGTGAAAAACTTAAGATTAAAAAACAAATCAAAAGACAAACAAAAACCAAAACCAAAACCGAACAAGTCAACTAAAGTCACTGATAACAGGGAAGATAAAGTTAAAGATAAGAAGGCAGATGATTTCAAAGCTGAAACTGAAGATAAAGGCGCCGCTGGTGACTCATGGGCTCATAAGGATACTCTCTATCTCATCGACAAAATCAAACATCAAATGGATCTCGGCCGAGGTAACGATGGTGGCCTCAAGACCGAGGCTTGGAAAGTTGTTTTAGAAAACTTCAACACCAAATTCAAAACCGACACATCTTTGAGACAATTAAAAAATCATTTTCAAAGGGTAATTCTGATTTTATTCTTTCATTTCAGCTCGACTGACTCTCTTTATGTTTTTTTTATATGTACATAGTTGAAGAAGACTCTCAAGGCTTTTGACAAGATCATTGATTCTTCCGGCGCTGCTGGAACCAATACAATGACTGGTGAGGTCCATTCTGATAAGGACTGGTGGCTTAATTGGATTGAAAAGGTAAGCAAGTCACTTTAAATTAACTTCAACATATACACCTAGTTGATTCAGGTGATGGCTATCAATCATTACATAATAGGAAGGAAATGTTGATGCCAAACCAATTTGACACAGCGGTTTTCCCGCCTATGAAGCTGTACAAACGGTTGTGCCTGCGAAGAACCTTCGAGCCAATGGTAACAATGGATACAGAACTCAAAGTATTAAAAAGAAGGCAGTTGACTTACGTGATGATGACTATGAGGAAAACAAAGATGAGGAAAATGAAGACGAGGAAAATAATGGTAAGTTTGATGATTCTCATCTTCACCATTTGTATTTGCAAGGGGTATTGATGAAGGTTTGAATGAAGACCAACATCAATCTCAATCTCAGGAATCAGATTCAAATAAGGACAAAGACTCGGATCTTGATGCTATTGAACTTGGAGGGGCTCCACCTCCTTCACAGAAGAAGAGGAGGAACACTAGAACTGTAAGATACATTTTTCGATGTTTTTGTTTGATTCACTTTGTTCTATTTCTAATCTTTCTTCTTTTGATTCAACCCTTTCATCAAGTCTTGCTCTCGAAAAGACGGTCTCACAGCGGCTGAAGCTTCCCTTGACGACAGTGACACTGACAAGGACAACAGCCCAGAGACCCGCTTTGTCCGCAGCAAACGGAGCCCGATTGGACCCTCAGCTTCAACTTCAAAACGCTCTTGAACAACCGGACCAAAGCTCGTAGCTGAATCAATCAGAAACACCGTTGATCGAGTTACAGGTATGGAAGATAGGAATGACAGCGACAAGTTGGCTATCGCTAAAATAAAAACTGAACAACACCCAATGCAACAGGAAGCTATGGCGATCTTCAACAAGGGATGCGCCAACAATCTCAAACCTCAACACATCATTTTAGCAGCAAATGAGATGAAGAAAGATGACTCAGCATCCTTTTTCTACCACATGGATAAGAATTATCGTTGGGACTGGTTAAGGAGTGAAGCCAAGATATTGGATCAGTATCAAGAGAAAGATGGAGATAATGAATGATATCTTCATCTTCATATATGACTAGCCAAATTCGGCGGCGGGCGCCGCACTCTTTACCCAATCACGGCAACTATCACGTGAAACTCCCCAATGTACCTTCATTGTCTACGCGTCTAGCTCCAGCACAGTGCCAAATTACACACACTTGATTCGACGCTTTTACATGATTACCGGATACTTTGTATAATCCTCATGTGGAGGCCCACTGTTTTTGCCAAGAGTCCACCACCAATACCGAGGTCCATTCTCCATTGAAGTTCACTTTTGATCGAATTAGAGTACAATAGTTCAGGGCATCTCTCATACAACACCTACTACGTAGAGGGAACAGAAAGAATTTTATGGTTCAAGCGCTAATCATTAAAAAATCTAAAGATGCTGACAATACAAAATTGAAGTTACAAGATTTTTGCGTTGGGACTCATCCCAATATCCCCCTCCTCACTCTGTCATGCTCCATAGTATGCATTAAAACTCTCTCTCAGCGACACCGCACAACTTGTTGAAGACAACCTACATTTACTGAGGCTTATACATCGTGATCACAGGTAATTTGATCAGTTCACATATCAAGTTCTTTCTTCATTGGCTGACTATCAAAGTTTCATAGACTTACGGTCGTACTTCTTGTCGCACAATGCGTATGACAATTATCTGGTTCGCTGTTTGCCTTTCCCATTGGCCGCATCTTGTTCGAAATAATTAATTGAGGCCTATTGAAAGCCAGCCCACCAAATTGTTAATCGCACAATATACAGATCTAATGCGGGGTCAGACACTTTACGTACCAATACCTGGGTGTACCTCAGTTGGCTTTTGAACTGGCATCTGATTCCAAAGCGCTTAAATAAATCTACCAAGTTGCCACCCAGCACTACCGTTTCGTGTCCAGTTATAAAGATAAAATGTTTCAATCTAGGTGGGAATTTAATATCCGCGACTTCCTCCAGCAGCTTCCTCCAGTACGCACCGCTTTTAGCATAAGAAGTAATGAAAACACTGACTGTTTCGAAAAAGTGCCAATTAAACCAATTTGGTCTTTGAAACGTAGCATTGACGTACATACTCCTGAACACTCGAAGACTTGGAAATCGCGTATAACGAAGCCGATCAGGCATATGGTCAGGCATCTTCTCAATAAACAGTCCGCCTAGCGTATCTTTCATCGAGCTGATTATTGCTTCTGAGTCACTCATGTAGATTGTCGGACTAAATTCCAATAGTTTAATTTGCCTCCCGGGGGCCTGGCAAAAATTTTTGACTGCACTGATATTCTTGCAATGTAACGTAACCCAAAAGTGCATTAATTTAGGTAAGGCTCCGGTCCTCAAGGTTAGGGAACTCAAGGTACCGAACTTGAGCAAAAGTGATTCTAGTTGATTAGTATGGTTTAATATGCTGATCAAAGAGTTTGCATTGTTCATGATGTTATGCTTTTTGTCACCTTCAACAAAGAAAGTTTTCAAATTGTCCACACCTCGAATTGCAAGAGCTAAATTGTTTGAGAAACCAACGGCGCTTGTAAAACTTAACTTCAGGTCAGTCAAGCTCAAACCACATAGCGAGATGATTCCCGTGGTATCTTTCATGAATATTGACTTGGTGTTGTAGTGTTTGTATTCTAATTCAAGCTTTCTGAACAGGCGGTCCTCTGTGCTTTCGTAGAGACAAACTGGGTCGAACTCTGGTAGGTACATGACGCGATCCAAAGCAAGTCGTCGAAGGTGAAAACCGGGAAAACTCGACGTAACTACCCCTTTCGCCCATAGGTCACTCATGTAGGAATGCGCCCAAGGAGATTGTAAGTGCAAGGATTTGTATACGAATGGTGGAATGGCGTCCGCCCAAGATCTTCCAAGCAGTCGCAAGCTGAGTAGACTTTTAACGGATGTTTGGTGTAGGAAGCGATTATCGGCACTGTTGTAACCATCAACTGCGAAATGAAAGGCATTGGCTTCCCAATACATTATGATCAACGTCACTATTTCAACTGGGAGGGTCGGAGCTGGAAGCATCCTTGTGAGTAACTTCGAATCTGAGAATGTGGTCAAACAAACGGTACTCCATGCATCGAATTTCTGCTGATTCCATTCAAAGCTTCAGCTGTAGCTCATTCAAGCACTTAGGTGTAGAAACCGCGTATTTTCAATCATTTTCATTTTATATTCAAATGCGTCATGCATAAGGGGACTGGCTGCCGAGCCAAGGCTTTACTCATGTTGAGTAGCTCCGCCTATAGAAGTAGCCGAGAATGTGATTAGCAACGGTGTTTCGAGGACAACCAAAGTGCGAGTCATTAACTCCTTGATGGCTACCATTTCTGTACCTAAAGTTCCCTCAATCATGTTGCTGCAAGAGAAGACGAATAGCGTGGACATCCTTGCTAAAAAAATGTGCGGTATATTAGTTGCCTTGTTAGTTAAACACTGAACAATGCTGTGGGACCTGGGGAAATGCAAGCTACAAAAAAGTTGTCACGCTCCGTCGCTGCTTTACTTATTAACATTGTAATAAGCAAAATGTGAATCAAGAATGCAAAGGCCCGCAGCAAACAAAAAATTTGGAAGTAAGAAAGACAAAAAGCGAAATGTTTTGAAGAGGAATGACATTTGGGTTCGAACATGGTTAAGAGTCAACACAGAGTGAAATACATGACTATTGAATTAAAGAGCTGAGATAATAAATTTGACAGAAAAATATCAAGGTCCCTAAATTGATGTCCTATTTCGATGGGTCAATAGCAAAGAACGCTAGGTCAAGATATGTTGTAAGATTTACACTATCTTAATGACTCTTCAATTCTTTGGTTGGAAAGCTACCTCAATTACAATTCATAAACATCTAATCTCTACTTAGTTACAGCCATAGGTTTGATAACCCGTTAATACTACCTTTTTCAAATGAAAGATTCCCAATTATATACTGCCATTTACTTTGCATTAAGCTCGTGACCTGTGTTTTATGTTGAAAGGTTTAGAGCCCTTGCCTTCGTGGGTCAGAAGGTAGTTACTACTCACAATAATCGAAAAACCAAGAGTGACGAGATCACATCGCTTTTTGGTCATTTACGTTGTCTTCGCCCGCATTTTCCCAATCTTTAGTATATTCAGGACCACACCCAAGTTTGCTTATTAATCCCTTGCAAAAAGCGAAAAGTTAGTTATGTTTCGACTCCGTATGGTCCTATTAAGATATTTATAAATTGCTCACCAGTATTTTGTAACAATCCAAACTGTTTCTGAAATGAGATTTAATTCCCTGAGCTTTTAGCGCTAAGATCAATGATTCGTCTTTGAATTTGTGTCCTTTTTCAATCATAAAGATGAAGTGTTGCAGTTTTGGAGGCATGGTAAATCGTAGCTTGTCGTTGAATACACTTCTCCAAAATTTACTATAACTATTATAACTTGTGATGAAAATCTCGACGTGCTCAAATATAGTCCACTCGTACCAAGCAGGATAATTAAGAATTCCATCCATGTATATGCTTCTTATCAGTCGAAGCTTTGGGAAGCTCACCATACGCAGATTGGACGGAACATTACTTGGAATTGTGTTGACGAATAGAGCTTCAAGCGTAGACTTAAGGCTAAGGACCACGATGTTTGAACTGGGATCAAAATACATTGGCATAAACTCTAACATTTTGATTGCCCGCCCCTCAGTTCGACAAAAATCAGTAATGGCGTCTTGATTTTCCGGGTGCCACGCTACCCAAAAGTGCTTCAGGTTTGGAAGAGCACCGAGATTCAATCTCAAAGAAGTTAAAGTACCAAAGTTTAATGATAGGGACTCTAGGGCGTCGGCGTTGTTTAACACAGCAATTAGAGAGTCGGCGTCGTTCGCATCGTTGTGGGACTTGTTGCCATCAATCAAAAGTGTTCTTAAATTTTTAGCTCCTTTTAACGCAAGGATTAATTCGTCTGGGAAACCAAACGATGAAGTGAAGATGAGCTTTAGATAAGTTAAATTAAAGCTGCACAATTTGACTATTTTGGTGGCATCACGCATGAAGATAGATTTGGTTTTGAAATGTTGATACTCGATTTCAAGTTCCTCGAGCTGTGGATCCTGAATGCGGTCATAGAAAGATCCAGGCCCAGTATTGGGTCGGTGCATAACTTGATCCAAAGCAAGGCAGCGGAGATTCGAGAGGTTTGAGAGCAGTGAATGGTCTTTCCACTTATCGATTGAATTGATCCGTACCCAGGGAAACCCAAGTTGCAATGAGCTATAAACAATTCTTTGAATGGCATTGGCCCAAGAGCGCCCGAGCAATCTCAACCTCAGTACATTTACAACTGATGGAGGACGTAAGAATTTGACCTCAGCACTATTGCATTGGTCATCTACTATAAACGCAGCTCTATCAAAGAAATGAAATATAATTAATTCAATTACTTCTACCGGAAGTTCTGCTGTAGTACGCATATTGAATATTTTGAGAAGTTGAATTAAAGGTAATGTACTCAGTAATCGTATTAAATTTATCGTATTAAATTTATGTGCTCATAAAAGATTGTTGCATAACGGAGGAATCAGAGACATTAGGACAACAAATCTTATTTATCTACAAAACTGAAGCTTTCCAAGTTACCCGATCCCGTACCAAAGACCAATTAATATGTACATATTTCTTTCTGTGAACTTCAGATTCGAGTTCTATGAGAGAGTGAGGCACTCGGCTTTACTCTAGTTACCGCTCAACACCACATAGATAGGCAAATACCACAATTCCTTATCAAGTGCTCCCAACTCATTTATTGGCTCGTGGTAACGTATTGGCCGGTCCATAGTCGGACGTAGATAGAAATCGCTAGGGATGAGATGGGTACTGAGAGGTATGCTGTACATGGAATTAACATTGTCTGGTAATATGGATTAAGCATTGGATTGTTGCCAATTTGGTTCCGGAGCGAGGGAACTGCGGATTTGTTTACTACAGGGAGCGAGAGAAGGTAATATGTAAAGAAACCTTTGGCTTCGTGATGTTTTACGCGAGCTATTTAACATAATCACATCAGTTGCACAGACAGACACGAAAAACAAAGACATTATCTCGGCTCAAATAATACAATTGCTTGTTCTTAAGGTCATCATTGGTTGCTAAAGTTTCACGGAATACAACACTCCTTTTTCATGTAGCCAGGCCAGGACACATCATGCTAAGCATGTACTTTTGAGCGTAATCTACATGCTTCCCTGTGTTGATCATGATTTTGAAAGGGATGAAAAGGATGGCAAAGACTTGTTATACTCTGAAAGCATCCTACCACCTTTCAAGAATATTTGAGTCCACACTCTTGAAACTGTCGGCATAACTCTATTTCAGGAAATAAATAATTCTTAGTATTACTTTCATAGTATATGGTATAAACAATAGCAAAGTGTACATACCAGTACCTCGTTGTAATATATGTTTCCTTTGAATAGACATGTAATTCCTTGAGCAGCAAACAAACTTAATAAATCCATGTCTATCAAGTCGCTCCCCTCCGGAGTAATAAAAACAATAGATCTCAAGTTGACCGCCTTTGCTAACTTAGATGCGTCATCCCCACTGAGCAAGTCATGCCAAAAGTCTCTCGTAAGGATATAGCTCGTGATGAAAACTCTGATAGTCTGAAAAAAAGGCTTTCCTAGCCACGTAGGACCTTTGCCTGGGGAAAGGATTGGCATAAAGCGTAAGATCCATAATTGGGGAAATGACATCTCAATGATATACCGAGGAAGTTCATCCGGGATACTCTTGATGAAGAGCCCCCTTAGTTGATTTTGGAGCGTCAGCAATATTGGAATTGGGTGTTGTGCAAAGTTCGTTGGTACATATTCTAACAATTTGATCTGCTTTCCCGCTTCTCGACAGAAACGCGTGAGCGTGCTGGCATTCCCGGGGTGGCATGATATCCAGAGGTGTTTCAAGTTAGGTAGAGCCATTTCGTTTGCGTTGAGGTATTCTAAATTAGCCACTTTGAGTGAAAATGACTCTAAAGAAGTAACATTGTTCAGAACGACACTTATTGATTCGCAATCATTGGTGATATCTCACATGATTGTTCCTTCAATGATCAAGTTTGTTAGATTATTGATTTTTTTGATTGCCGTGATCAGATGAGTAGGGAATCCAATGGCATGTTGAAAGCATAATTTTAGATGTGATAAATTCGGGCCACACAGCCTGATTATGTCGGCTGCATCCTGCATAAGCACCCAATTAGGATCGCGGCGTCGGTATTCAAGTTCTATTGGCCGAATAGTTTGTTCTGCTAATGAACCGAGGGAGCTGGAGTGAATGCTTGGGATAAACATAAGTTGATCAAAGGAGAGGTGGCGTAGGTTGGAAAGATCTGATAAAGCTATGTCACGTCGCCACATCCTCTTAACGTAGTGATTAACCCAGGGAGTTCTCAAGTAAAGAGTTGAATAAACAAATTTTGGTATGATAGCTGCCCATGATTTTGAAATTAATCTTAAGGTAAGAAGGTTTCTAATTGATGCTTGGGTTAAAAAACGTCCGTCACCGCTATTCGTTGGGTCGCCAGGCATGGAGGCAGAGCAATCTTGCAAGCCGTTGATAATTTTCTCTATGATTTCTACTGGTAAGCTGGGAGACGGTGCCATATTTTGGTGTGCGGTTGTAGTTTGGAAGAGTATTAAGATGGCTGAACGGAAGTTGTTTGGTGCCTTTATTTTATTGGGTGGGCAATTCAAGTTTGGGGCATGGTAAGTATCTGCATGGCGTCATATTCTGATGGTTTAACCTGATCACAAACACACTTGGATACTCCAACTATCTAAGGAGAGACAAAAGTTTGACGCGTGAATGTACAAAGTAACAACACTCCCTCGTAGCCGTGTAGCTCTAATAATATAAGTAGCTTTGTGTTTTACCTATTGTATGTGGAAATGGTATTTTAATAGCGTCGCCAGGGTAGATGCACACATCCGCAAGTTTTGAACTTATACCTCACTTACGCTCGACTCTACTCGCTTGCAAATATATGGTCTATGTGTATTTTACTCTGGCCGATAGGATAGATGGATTGATCTACATATAACCCATGTATCAATAGCTCGCCTAATGCTTATACACTCCATACGGCCATTCACGGTGAATTCAGATATTGAAACCCAATACTTTCATACTTGACTTCGTGAAACAGATAAGTAAGTCTGATCCCAAATTAGAATTTGGGAATAACATATATCGCGTAAAGTAGGAAGATAAGCATGCCGTTGTACTAAAGTGGATACATAGTTTGTAAAATGAGAGGGTTAGATTAGAACAACAAAACAGGCGAACAGAAAGACCGAATGAGTGGAGGATTTTCACTCCATGTTTTGTATCACAGCGTGGTCGTGGAAGCGCTGACATCACGAGAGTCAGTAGTTCCATCGGTCTTTTAACATTTCCTTTACTTGATAAGGGCTCTCATCGATGTAAGACAACCAGGTGCACATGTAAATTTATATGCACCTTTATGAGAGATATTATCAAATTGAAATAACAATTTGTCATTTGAGTTTCAAAAGTACTCAAACAGTACGCTTCGGTTTTGAAGGAATGAATAGAGGCACTACGATTTTCGCATGTAATGAAACTCAGTTTTGACCCTTATAGACACTCAATATTATTGTAGTCAGACACGTACTTGATTTTTGGGTCCATTGTCAGAACTTCAAATATTTAATACCGGGTGAAAAACTATGTTGTCTGTAGCCGGCTCATCGGATTCTGATGTAATGCAAACATTAAAATTAGCTGCATTTGTGCATCTTGACAACGCTACGTAAAGCTGGCCATGGGAGAAGACTGGTTTGGGCAAGAGTACCGTTACCCGTTCAAGGCTCTGCCCTTGACTCTTGTTGATTGTCATGTAGAACGCTGGCGTCACTGGCAATTGATAACGCGAAAAGTGGATTGGGCAGTCTTGATTGCCTTTGTGTTTTAACTTAATTTTTGGTAAACTGATAATTGTTCCCTTCATATCCCCAGTTAATATTCTGCATTGTAGTGCATGTGGTTGATAGTCCGTAATTAAGAGCCGCGTCCCGTTACAAAGCCCGTTTGTCAGGCTTAAATTCCTCAATACCATGACTTCTGCGCCAACTTTCATTTTGATTCTATGATGTGGGAACCCAGGGAAGTTAAAAGTGTTCAATATGTCTGCTGGAATTGGATCAACGTATGTTTCGTCCATGATGTCGATTGACTGTGAGGTGTATTCTTGGTTTGGCAAAGAAGCCATGATGTACTGGTTCATGGAATTCACTGTGGCGTTTAATGGGGTGATAATACACCGGTGTGAATAGAAGTTTGTCAATTCCGCCCATTTTCTTTGTAAGATCAAGTCGTTCACGCCTCCATAGTCAGTGTTTAGCATTTGTGGGTCGCATAGAGCTGGCGGTCTTATAATTGTAATGTTACAGTATCGTAGTGGAGTCTTGGATACGTGGGTAGTCTGGAGTTTTCCAGACCCAAGATCCAACAACCACTTCGCAAAATTAATGTTTGCTGGATCGGGATTATTGGCTAATCCGCCAAGTCTAATGTTTGTTGTTAGCCCGAATCGGTGTATTGATTCCCATAAGTAGGAAGCCTTCAAGGTTGCCTGAGCTTGTTGCATTAGGTTAGACCCTCGGACAATTGGTAGCGTTTGGCGGAAATCCCCTGCAAACAATACAGTCTTCCCTCCAAACGCTCACCAATATGAACCCCAAAAATACGGAAAAATATGCAGATTGGAGATCTCAAACCAAGGAACAGAATGCATATTTTTTCATATTTTTTGCTCTGTTTCTGACCTTTCCAGATTTTTGTATACAAATAATTTAATTTTCTGCCCAGAAAATGTTATGAATCTTGAAAGCATTATAGTGCGCCCATTTAGAAGTAATAATGAGGCAATGCCGGCAGCAGATACTGCTTCGAAGGGAATCTGGTTTGCATTGCAAAAATGAAGAATGCAATTCAGGACGAAGGTTTTTCCAGTGCCTCCCGGACCGTCCAGAAACGCTAAGTACGGTGTATCGTTGACAATGGCTTTGCATACATTAAATACGACGGCTGTTTACTCATGAGTCATGACGCGCAGCATTGCAGTATATTTCCTAGAACTTTCCTCAGGAGTCGTTGCATGAGAACCCGTCCTCTGACCATCATCCGGGAGCTCTAATTCATACAACAGTTGTTGGTCTACGTTGGGCATATCTACGTTTGCTAAGCTGGTTTCCATTGCTATAAGAACCTTTTCCAATAGATGTAGGCCGTAGTTTTGAATTTGCGGTTCGGTGGGACGAGCTCAAGGATTAAGACGTTTAATCATGTGTTCGCAATCGTCTGTTAGGTCGTGAACATGATTCGCCCACAAGCGACGTGGTTCTGCTGGAGAGCTATGTATCAAAATTATTGCGAGCATGTGCCCTAGTTGTCTCCCCGTTTTCCAGGTGGCAGCTTCAGTCAAGGACTCATGATAATGCCGGTCGTCAAGGAGAAGTCCCAACCTACTGGCCGCCTCACAAAAACTATTGAGTTGGATGCCATCGATGGTACGTAAGTCGTCAAATGATTGTGTACCGCGAACGTGAGACAGGAGTAAACGTAAGTAGTATACTTCGCCATGTTTGATATTAGCGAAGTATACCCGCCCAATGGACATAAGACTGTTACGCCTGGGTTCTAGTTGTTTGTTTCGCTCGTTCCAAGTAAAAAATTTTGACACTTCTTGATATTTCAAAGAGCGGATTGTTTGATCCAATCCTCGTAATGGTACGTTCTCTCTACAAAGTCTAAAATATTCTGTTAAAGTCGTCTGCTCAGCTCTCCCAGTGGTAATAGCTCGGCGCAGACCGGCCTCATCCAGGAAGTAAACCGTCTGTGCTCCTTCGAGATGTAGGCTCAATCGTTGAATGGCAGGATATCTGCCTGTCAATTCGAACTTCAGCAATCGCCAAATAGCTACCAAATTAGACGTGGTTAGTTTCCGGCATCCAACAAAGCAGTCCGGGTTCAAATATAGGCTAACCTTCCGTTGCTGATAAGAATCTTGCATTAACGTAAGCCAGGATCTCATCATTATCAGGATCGTCAACTGTTGCCATGGTTCTATCGTGACCTTTGAGAATATATTTGAACAGATACTTAATAGCTCGGATGCTAGCTGCTACCTCGACGTTTATGTGGCATCCATACTTCAGAGTCAAGAATCGATTGTAAGGAACGACGTTCCTATTGTTGTAACGAATATGACCTTTATCATAATGTCGTCCATTGTCAGGTCTCTTGTATGTTGGATAGGCGTCTTCAGCCAGTTCAGTAGCTTCGCAAAATGGACGTGGGTATCCTAGTCGGCATTCGGACCCCGTCCAACACTTGTATTGTTCGCATGGACCGTGTAACATGAATTTAGTAACTAACTTGTATAGATCATTCTCGGTTTCGGGATCGGGAAGTTGGGCTGTGATCAGACAATCTATGTGTTCTGGTCTTGTTGGTTTATCTGCCGGATCAAGAAATAGGATTAAGTGAACATGTGGTAATCCTCGTTTCTGGAACTCGACGGTGTATACGTAAGCTACACATTTACCGAACCGCTCTTGTTTTGTAACGTCGGTGAGTAAAGAGTGAAACTTCAAGTGAAAGACCCTTGCAACTAAGTCTGGACGGTCTTCGGCGGTCTGTCCGTCTAGTAGTGCGTCCGTGATTTCTGTCCACTGCGGGTTTGCAGTCATAGTAATAAAAAGGCTAGGATGCCCAAACTCAGCTACCAAGCTCATGGCGTCTTGGTACAGTTGTTGCATGTGCCTGGGGCTACCGATAAACGTCGAAGGCAGCACAATTCTTCGTCCTACTACTTCATCATCCATCTCGTTACCCAGTGCTTCGACAGCACCACTATACAACTCTGCCCGAAGTTCTTTCTGGTGAAACCGGATGAATTGGAGCCTGGAGTGCTCCACGCAAACGTACATATCAACCGAGAATTCTTGGAAAAGGCGCCCAGCTGCGAGTATAATTGAGAAACTTGCTCTCTGAAAAAGAAGATAGGCAAACCATTCGAGGTTGGTAACTATCCCATCAGGTCCTAATGATATTCATAAAGGTGAGCTTCAATCATACTTTTGGTATGGTACTTGGTACGGCCAATAACTCACTGTCTTCAGTCGGATTCCGGAAATTCTCATGCCAGGTTTGTGAACCGTAAGGGAAAAGTAAGGGGTATCGTAAAGCAAAGTAAGCAGTATGTAGCTCTGATATTCACTGCTTTTCCCCGGTCTGCTTCTCCAAAATGATATCCCTTCCACGAGCGCCAATTTCCCCATCGCCTTCGATTATAGCAGCGACCTCATTGGAGGTTGGGAGGTTGTAACGTCGGAGGTCCGTACCTGCTGCTTTTATTGTATTAATTCGAAGGGTTCGGGTGTCTCCATTGTTGCAGATAGCAGCGGCCGCGCGGAAGACATTGGTGTACGGATTATGTAGGGTCATGAATTCCTGAAATAACAATAGGATCTGTGGATTGAGTTGGTTGTTAAAATGGTAGTTCCTTGCTTGGACTTCAGCCTCGCCGCCTCCACCGTATACAAAGATTTGTGCAAATCCGGGGTGGTTTCCGGGTAAAGGCATGAGGGAGCCAATCCTATGAGATAATTGGCCCGAGATTCTAAAGGTGTAAACGCCGTGTTGTCCTTGTACAGACCTGTCCACGGTGGCTCCAAGGGAAGTAAATGACATTGCATTGTTATACTTTTGAATCAAAGATCGAAATTCTACGCAAACTGAAACAAACTTGAGCTGGCGTGAAGTCCCGGGGGTCAAAGGATAACTTACCTGGATCTAAACGTGTTAGGAGAGCACGGTAGAAAGGAGGGACATCCTGCCCTACGTCTTGGGCAAAATATCTTACTGGCAAATCAATTGCTCCATGTTGGCAACAGTTTCCATAGGTGCTATGTAGTGCGTTCTTGTCCTTCACGCGTCGCTCGGCCACCCATAGAAATGCTCCACATCCAGAACATTCATCTGTTGGATGACCGATGTAATGTGGGATTTCGCCAGGGAACCGAGCGCGTAAGCTGATCTCGTGACCCAATGCTTCGTACCGAATTGCTGGGCCTTTTCTTGCCCGATAGATAGGCATGCTTAGTTAAATGGGAACGAAGCCCGGTGTTTGAATATTTCAAACGTAGATAACACGGAGTTGGCTTGTAATCTGATCGTAACAGACACCTAATTAGTCATTAGAAGAGCTTGAAGACTAATTATTCAGAATCTCACGAGATGTTTGTTATAGTTGATGTATGCGTTCTGAATCGTAAAATTCGGCTATGGATATCTGCTTTCAAAAAGATGAATAGTTGAAGTTTTTTGATTCTTCGTCAAGTTGGCGGCGATAACAAAAGTTTCAATGATTTGTGCTTTGCCGCATTTAAAAGGGCTCGTTTGTTGATTCCTTCGGATTGGTAGGTGCGTAACACTTCAAGCTCACTATTATCTGCAATTTTGAGGCAGCATTTCGCCATGCCTGGTAACAAATGATGCCGCTACCAAATTCACAGTCCGCGGAGACTCGTAACGTGACATCACCCATCTTCAGGGTTGTCAAACCAAAGTGAAATAGTAACATGCGACCATCGGTCGTTAGACCACATCCTACTTGATTTAG